AAATAGAAGTATCATCGCAAACCTAGTGGTCTTCTGATTTCCATCTCTCTTGCGTCAGGACTATTAAATCCTTGACCAGTACATAACAATAATTTGGCGACGAGTACATAACAAAAACACGGTCTTCTGATTGGTTGTTTCTCACTGAAAGTTAATCTTTCATCTTTTTGTAGCTGTTTCTTGAATGTCAGATCATCATATATGCCAACTGTATCCGCCTACGCAAAGTCTGCTGTGGTTGGTTGTTGAATCAGTCTTTGTTCTTATTATTCTCACGACCAATATTGGGGACGAAAATTACTATATACCAATTTGGCTAGCAGCCAGCTCTCACCACAATATCATCATTCTATTTCACAAGTTGTCATCAACTGCACACCGCTACCTGACATTAAAATGGTTTTAAAAAGTGAAAGTAACATGCCTCACTGTTTGAATGGTAGTAGTTCAAGTCCCTATTAACTTATATGTTTATGCCTTAAAGGCAGCAGATATTAAGCAAAATGCAATTACCAGCCACCTTGTGGATACCTCCCATCATTTTGTCGAGATTTCCAAATCCTTCAAAATGATTAAACATACATACAGAACGTGAATTTAATGCTATTTTTTCTTTTGATGCACCTGCTATCAAACTTCTTGAATCAAACCACAGAAAGACAGTGAAATCAATCTCTCATTCCCTTGGTAACAACTGCATTCTGATTATACATTGACTGGTCATCCATATTAGTGATTTTCAGTTGACTGAGCAAGTTTTCAATCTTATGAACTGTAACCTTCTTGAATTGCTAAGTGAACTTATAAACTAACATTGTTTATTAGATTTTTCTGTCTTCTAATCTTCTCCTCTCTTTCGTTCCTCCTTCCATACTTTGAAAGTAACATAAATTGATGGTAACTAAAACTAAAAAGACTGCAATGCTTAATATTTCAGATTGCGTTAATTTTATATTTTCTCTAATATCATTTTAACATTAAAGCGTAATTTCAGGTAGTGGTCTGCAGCTGATGAGAACCTGTGAAATAGAATAATATCGTTTTATTAAAGTACCTATTATCTGTGTTATTATATTGATTGATTGGTTCATTTTCTTTAGATTATCGTATCAGTGTCTTACAAGGACTACCTCAATTAGAAATATTAGATCATGTTGATAGAATGGGTCGTGCTACTCACATTGATGTTTTAGCTGATTTTCCAGGTATGTAAATAATATTTCGTGTGGATTTGTAGAGTATCGCTGAGTCATTACATTTAAGTAAGACACGACATTTTCTAGATTTTCTAGAAGTATGTACATACGTGAGAGAGAAGTCAATAAATTTGACGGTAATAACTTAATTAAATCACAGATATCTCTGTCTTTTAAGGTGATAGCTTCAATGACAGATGTAATACGTGCCAGCTTGAATGATTCAAATAATGCCAGCAATGTCATTCAGGTTATTATTATTATTATTCCCTTGGGTTCTAAATGCAACACAGAGTTTAGCGTCTAGATCCCTTAGATTCTTCTTCCATGTCCATTTTATACTCGTCTTCTCGCTTTCCTCAGTGTGTCGCATGATCCATTCGAACATAGTCAGAAATATCATCATGGCGCGGTAATAGACAGCCGTTTCTTACTCCTGAATTCACTTCAAAAGCTTCTCTGAGTTTTTCGTTGTGAATCACTTGACATGTAGTAGCATTGTCATGTAGACAGATGTTGAATGAGGTTGAAAATGATTTAGGACACTCCATAGTGTTGACGCAGTTTCCAAATCACTTTGTGATCAACGCCGTTTGGAGGTCTTTTTTGAAGTGTATGAAATTCAGGTGGAAACTTGACTGCCATTCTATGGTTTGCTCAGATAATGAAGTTGAAATTAAATAAACTACTACTCATTATTATCACTATAATTGCCAATAGAAACGTGTTTGTATTTCTGTTTGAAAATTTGCGATATGCAGAGTTTTAAGTAAAACTTGTAAACACAGAAAGCAAACAAGTAGCGGGTAATCAATCACCAGTGCTTTGTGTTTTTTTTTAAGAATCTAGAGGATTTGGACTTCTCAGGTGAATTATTTCTAATGTTATACATAAACTCGATATGATGATTTACCCGCGAAAACCAACAATTTTTTTCATCAGAAGCAAACAGCGAGGACAGGATTTCAAATTGAACACATAGAAGACGGAGGTGATGAAGATGACCAACCAACCAACCAACAAAAACAACAAATAACCAGCGCCAATCACCATGAATGGGAGGAATTCGAAAGAGGTCACTTCTTTCACTTATCTGACTAGGCAGGATCATTTCAACCACAGGCAGACAGAATGGGTCAGAATGTCAAAACCAGAATCGAAAAAGCAAGACAGGTGTTGATTACTCTGAAACCAGTTTGGAGATCTGCTTCAACGAAAATCGGATTCTCAACACCAATGTTCAGTCAGTCAGTCATTTATCCTATATGGGTCAAAAAGTTGGAGAGCCACGAAGAGCGTTTCCAGCAAGTGGTTACCGCGGACTTTTATCAACAACTGCCTTTGCACCACACTGAATATCAGACGACTAGTCGAAAAGACTTGACAACAAGAAACTCTGGGAACGAATCAACCAATAAGCTATTACTCCACCAACATTCCAAATAAAAAATGGAGATGAATCCGATACACGGTGAGAAGAATGATGGTTGACGTCACGCGCCAGCCAAGTCCTCAGGTGGGACCTGAATGGGAAAAGACTAGTGGGGCGTTAGTCAGGGGGTGACATGGAGATGAGATGGCAATCGTGGAGCAGGCTAGAGAGGACTTTCGAGAATAGGGTAAAAATGGAGATGTTCTGTTGGAACCTTGTGTTGCATGCGGAACCCAGGGAATAATAATAATAATAACCTGAATAAACCACACAGAATGATATTGCTAGCATTATTTGAATCACTCAAGGTGACGTAACACCTGTCATCGAAGCTATCACATTAAAAGGCTGAGATATCTGTGATTTAAGCAAGTTATTACCGTCAAATTTATTGACTTCTCTCTCTCATGTATGTACATGTTTCTACCTAGAAAGTGTTGTGTCTTTTAGTTGGTAGTTTTCTTGTGTTTTGAAAAAATACTTCGTGTTGTCTTGTTTTGAAAAGAAAACCCTGTACTGAACTGAATTTCAAGCTGATAACTTTTTAAGCAAAGGTGAAGCAGTTCAACTTGCTACATATTATAAAAGCACACATCCTGTTAAGTAATTCCAGGGAGTCATAACTTAGTGAAAGTTTATGGGAGAAGGAGTAATCACACGGAGATAATTTTAAGGATTTGAATAAAGTAGTAGTAGTAGTGGACAAAGCTGCCTACCTACTATCACCTATGATGATATTCCTATTTGTGGTGGACTAGATTATGCGACACACTGTGACAGACGAGAAGAGAAGGGGGATACGTTAGACCGATAAGAAGAAGAAGAAGAAGACTCTAGAAGAGGTGGACTTCGTGGATAACTTATGTCTAGTGTCACACAAACTCGAAGATCTACAGGTGAAAACCAACAAGTTGACAGAAGCGGCAGGCAGCGAGAGCAGGACTTCAAGTGAAGATAGAGGAAACGGAAGTAATTAAGATAACCAACCAACCAACAACAACCACAAGCATAAATCACCTACGATGTTAGAATTCTAAATAAAGTCAGCTTTAATTACTTATCTAAGCAGCATCGTTTCGACTGTGGTCTCGGCCAAGATGAGGATGTCAAAGTCAGCTAGGATCAGAAAAACGCAATACTGCCTTTCACTACTCCGAAACTACTGTGGAAAACTACTGCACTAACAATAAGGAACAAGACTTGGATTCTGAACACTAATGTGAAGTCAGTACCTTTATACGGTTCAGGCAATTGCCAAGCGCATCATCATGGAAAGCATTTCCAACAACCTGCTGTAGGCATTTAATAAACACCTGATTTCGCTGACTCACTCTGAGAGGTAAAGCAACAAGAAACTCCTCTGGCAGTGTGTAGCCAGTGTCTTACTGCCCAACATATATGCCGAAAAAAGGAGATGGATTGGATACGTGGTTGAGGATACCGTTGAGTGACATCACATGCCAGGCATAACCTCGCCGCGTTTTACCCGAATGTATCCGGAGGTGACAAGGAGGAGGAGGAGATGGGAGCCTATGGTCACTCGTGGAGCCACCTAAAGAGGATTGCAGGGGACAGGATGAAATGGCCCTATGTTCCAGTTCAAACCTAAGGGAATATTAATAATAATACCAATACTAACAATAATGAATCTGGGAGATCATAAGAAGTGAAACCATTTTCACCATTTATAATACATTTCCCAAGAGATTCAAATTAATCACAGTTTTATATCAAATTGAGAAACCTCATATGCGTACGTGGTTGTGTTGTCTTACATACAGTATGGTAGAATATTCACCTACTAACTCGAAATTTATTTTATTTCTAAATAAGATTTTGCATTCAAGAAAAGCTATTTTCTGAATTGGAGTTAATTTGTGGATTGTGACTAACAGTGGAATCCAGGATGCGCATTTCTAAATTGAATTAAATAACTAATAAGACACGTTGCACAAGAGGTGGCTGTCGTGGCCCAAGTGGTCTAGTGGATAACGCTTTGGCGTTTGAAACTATGGACACTGGGTTCGAGCCTTGGTGGGAACATTATCATTCACTGAGGAATGCAGGTACATCTACCGGCTGACGAGTCCCAAATAGGGCGAAATGCGCGTTATCCTGGATTCTACTGCTAGTCACCATCCACCAACTAATTGCAAGTTACATGACCAAACATCATCGAAGCATCTGCACAAGGAGCTGACATGTCAACCTGATACCGAGAATTTCGGTCCATTCAATCGATGGGAAAATGTAAACTGGATTAAGTATTTTTCGAATTGTTTAGAAAATTAAATTAAATAATTGGCAAAAATATCTTGTTTTTTCTGAATCTTTTTTGTTTTTGTTTTTAGAACTCAATGATTTCATGGATCTGGTTTCTACTGGGACTTTTTCTGTAAGTTCGAATGGCCTTGTTCTACTTTTCAAAAGAAAGGAGTGACTGAAATGTTTAATCCTTATTGTTCAAAAAATCCTCACTACTTTTAGAGAATAATACTTTGCGTAGTAGAAATTTTGGTGGTTTCTTAGGTAACAACGACTCAGAGGTGTATTGGGGACGTGATATCCGGATGGCCGTCGACTATAGGGCATATGTACTGCTCAGCAGTCAGCTCTCTCCTCCTTTAGGGCTGTGAGACATGGCAATTGAAAGATGAAGACATGAAAAGGCTAGTTGTCTTTGATCATGGGTTGTCTGCACCCTGTCTCTCCTGTTTGGTGATACGATAGGGTGAGTATTATTGAGTTTAAGCGTTGAGTATCAGGTAAGGAGGGAAAGTCAATTGATGAAGTTGTGAAGCTACATCGACTGAGATGGTTAGGACATGTATTACATATGCCTAGGCATTGTTAGGTGGTATAGGACGGATCAAGTTGGGGAAGAGTGATTGTTGGTCAAAAAAACATGGCTTCATCAGTCAATGAAATCCACAACAGTTAGTCTGAGCCAGCCAGTTACGTGGGGAGGTGTAGACTACCTGGCTGGTTGGTAAGAAACAATGAAGGCTGGAGACAATTGGTGATATGGCTCAAAATCGTCGTTCCCAATGGCTGGTACAGATGCATGATTTATTATATCCAATAAAACTCCATCATTTTCCCATGTTAGTATTCTTTTTGCTTCTCATTTCTGTTTATTATCTCTCCATCTTTTGAATCTCTCTTTACTCCCTTTTATTTGGCTTTGTGTGCTACATGGTGGGAGAGTGGCAAGTTGAACTGGTGCACATCTGTGCAAAGTTCTATGTCGAAACCAGTCAGTCAGTCAGTCATGTGAATTGTGATGCAGAACGACACGTGAGTCAATGCATGAACCAGAAATATTTATCCACGAGCATTAGTTTCTACCTTTTATGACGGTGGAAATTATTTATTTATTTATTCGACTACTTGAGAATAGCATCAGTAAACTTACGTATTACGCTTGTCTTTGTCCTAGTACATTGAAATAAACGAGATCGATGATAATTTATAATAATTACCATGTAAACCTTCTGCCACCGATGTATCAAGGGAGAAAATTTTTCCTGAATTTTGTTTATATGAAAATATTCATGATAGTAGGAGCTAGTAAACTCCCTTCCTCACCGGTGGTCGAACCCGGGACCTTCAGGTTATGAGGTGTGACGGTTGACAGTTCAGCTAGTGGGATGGAATCTAATAGTCCATTCATACTTCTTCCTATTTGTGATACACAGCGTCATTGCCAACCACAATCATTGGCGAGTATTTTTTTTCTACACAACCCACTGGTCACGATTTCTAAAAAGAGCTTCAGGTAACTTCCCCTGCTTAACCAGTCACTAATGACTGGTCGGGTCCTGTATGCGCGCTGATGCGGAGTCTGTGCTCAGAATAAACTAAAACAGCTGCTGAGTACTCCTTAGTTTTCAATGTGGTTCTCTAATTGATGTCAGCTCATGGTCTACCCTGATACCAGCCAAATACTTTTTTTCTTTCCTTCACGTTCCCTAGTGGAACATAGGGCTTCAAGCTAGTGGCTTGAAGTTTCTGTAGCAGTGTTTATTTTTACAGGATGCGGTTGCTAGCCTCATGCCCAACCTTTCCTCTTTACCAGTATTCTTTCTGGCTTAGTGAGGTAAAGGAGGAGTGCGTCCAGTGGCCAGGGATCGAATCCCGGACGATGTGCATTGTCGGCGATCGTCCTAACCGCTATGCCACTGACGCATTAACCAAATACTGCAAACCAACAACTGAAAATTTAATTATTTGAATATTCAAAACTGTCTACTTTTAATTAATAAGTAGTTAAATTTTTCCAATTTAATTTTCACGTGAATCATTATTTATATTCCTTCGTTTCAGTGAAGCCTTCAATTATTTATGCTCCGCATATTTTGATTTCAATTTACTTTGTTATTTCTTTTTTTAATTTTAATTCAGGAATCTGATAATTTTTTGACGAATGAAGCCAAAAAGCATGAATATCATCATGACCAAATAGATTTACCATTTCGAAGTAATGAATTACTGACAAAGATTGTGAATAATGAAGTTAGAAAGGTAATTCTCTACTTGAATTGTGGTTTGTTTTTTTCATTTCCGTTGGCGTTCGTTTGATTTGTATAGTCCACTTCACCAAGAGAAATAGACTAGAGAACAACTGGAAACCAAAACAGACTGTACAGCGGTTGCGTCTTATTACAAGAAACCTCGGCAAGGCGTATTACGACATCATGTAGGATGCAAACTAATACTGTCAGGCTGTCACATTTAAAAAGAAGCTAATGAAAACTATTTCAAAGTACAACACCAATCTACAAACTAATTGACCAATGTTAGATGGTTGGAAGCGATCAGCAGGAAGCCTTGTTGCCACTCGTCAGCAAGGCGTGTATGCAACCTTGAAGGACTAGACACATCATACTAGTTACCGACTAGTGTCCAATCGAAGCAGTTGACTGTTCCTTTGAGTCGTGTAGGGATATGTGACTCAATCACTGGAAGTTCACCTGGTCATCCACACCTCGACAGTAATCTATGATAGACCTGTGACTCTTAATAGACGTTGTTTCCTTTTTAAGATATGATAAAATTTATAATTTTAGGACTGATAAATGCTCCCTGTCTAACTGTTAGAAGGGAAACTGTCGAATTCAATGATACGTCGATGACTGACTGAGTTTCATAATTGAACTTTGCGCGAAAGCGTAACAGTCCAAGTCGCCACACTCCACGTAGCACACACAGTAGTAGAAAAAAGAAGATGAAAATTCAAGAGAACTATGATGAGAAGAAATGTGTACGGAAGAAATAACGGTAACATGGAAAAACATAACTGTTTAGTGGATATGGGGTATCACAAAGAGTGAATACATCTGCGCCATTGACAATGATTCAAAGGTATATCACCAATAGTCTCCAGCCATCAGTCCTCAGCATCACGAGGACCTCAACCAGTCAGGCAGTCTACACCTCTCTACATGGCTGGCTAAAACCAATTTTCATAGGCGTCGTGGACTGATTCTAAGTTTTCCTTCTACTAACTCTAACTGTTTCCTAACTTAATCCCATGTCACCCAACTCTTCCCATCGGGAAGGTGATTACTAGACTATGTCTAAAACATGTCCTAGCCATCTTAACCGATGTAGATTCATCACCTCGTCGATCGAGTTGCCCTCCTTATCTAAAACTTAGCGCCTAAGCTGAATATTACTCACCTCTTAAGCCCTTACCTCACGCAGCTCAGAGTGAAACCTTAGTAGAACAAGACTTGGTTAAATGAATGTTTATTTTGAATAAAGCAAGAACAACAGTGGTTTGTGCAGAATAATATGGTACCGCCATTTATTTCGTCAGCTTCTCATCAGTTGCTTACAGCCTAAATAAATCATTAGGTTTACGTACAGAAAAGTTTTAACATATCTGCAAATTTTTCATGTTGTTAGTTGACAGAAGGTTCCACAATTAGTGAACAGTGCTCAGAAAATTTCGCTTCTATAGTTTTTACACAGGCAGTTCAAGTTTAAACAAAATAAATGTATGCATGCAATGGTAAAGGAGTTACGCAATAAAGACGAGAGATGCGCAAGATGCTGAGCGACTTATAAGTTAGGTAACAATGTACTGAGTTCAACTCAGATCACAGAAACAAGAGACAAGCAAAATTACAGATTATGAAAGGGAGGGTGAGGTTAAAGACAAAGATTACGTAATCAGATGAGAGAATAAACATATCCATTTACCAGGGCAAGGAAAGACTGATAACCGCTTCTTCTTTCTTAACACATAAATCGGGTTTGAAGCGTTTGATAGAAATTGCTTCCGCAAACTTGAGGAGAATCGAGCTCCCTTGTCTATTGATAATTTTAAAGGATTTCGAGATTTCCACCTGATGACCGGTATAGAGGAGATGTCTGGTAATAGCGCTATTATAAGAGTTTGTTCCCTTTAGACGTAGGCTTTTCGGCGCATGTTCAAAAAATCAGAGGTGTACCCTTCTTTCTGTTCTCCCAGTTGGAGTTAACATGAGAAGGGTACCTATCGACTTTTGATTGCACCAAAGAGCATGTTGTTCTATAGACGGGAACCAACTTAGCTGCAGGATAGGCTCTGGCTAGTGACGTTCTCAGTCTTCTGTTGACCATTGCTGCAATGCATTCATCTTTAAAATCTAGTTGAATGAAGACAGGCTTTTTTGTCAACTGTGATTTATTTGATGTTTGAGCCTTCACATCTTCCATATTTGTTAATGAATCTTTGAGAATAACCATTGTCTTTCAACACCTTTTCGAGAACCGTAAATTCTTTTTCTAGTTTCTTTGCAAAGCATATTCTCCTTGCTCTATAGTACAGAGTCTTGACTAGTGCTCTTTTATAACTGTTTGGACAAAAACTATAAAAATGTTAATAGTATCCATTCCATGTCAGCTTTCGGTAAATTGACCTCTGAAGACTACCATTTTCTAGGCGAGTATGTTATAACTTTTCTGTTCAATGAATTCATAATTTACTTAGGCAGCAAGCAGCTGATGAGAAGCTAACGATATAAATTACGGTACCATATCAATCTGCCAAAACCATTCTTGTTCTTGCTTAAATCAAATTCACCAAGAGAAGTAAAAGCAGGGTTGGTGTACGGTATCTCTATATAGCCAAATTATGTATACCTTATCTTCAGCGTACCATTTGCACAGATCTTCGAGTTGTGGTACTTCTGGACTTCATGTTTTGTTTGTTTGTATTCCTTTCACGTTTCCAAGTATCTCGACAACACTGTACCATTCGCCTTCTCTGAGATCAAATGTATCTCCCTACTAGTTGGTGTTTTTATGCAGATGAACGCCTCTTTATATATGTACCACTGATAAATCTTATCAGTAGCACTCGCCACAAGAGAATACAACAACCTCATCTCAGCTAATATTTTCTTCATTATTTAAATGTATTCACTATATTTCAACATGTAATATGAACTATGAGCTATGAATTTCTACTTTTCAGATTCATCCGGCTACTTATACAACACATGAAAAAGATCCTGTTCCAAATTCATTAACTTCAACAACTGAACATCGATTGCTGAACTTAGAAAGTCAATTAAACTCTTTAATTACTTTACAGTTATTAAGGATTCATCAAACAGAACCTGATCAATCTAGACTTTCTTGTAATACACATCAAGCAACATTGGAAAATTGTAGTAAAGATAATCCAACAAATGTTACTTGTCAACAAAATGAATCTAACCCTTGCAATGGAAATAATTCACTTGTAGAAACACATACAGAGTCACTACAACACATTCCAGAAAAGGAGGTGAGCACTGTTTCTCATAGAGTTTGTCTCACTTATTTGTTGTTGCAGTATCACTAATGCCAATGATTACTATTCATCTTTCTTGTGCGGTACGTGTGTATAGTTTTTCATCAGTTATTCTCCTATATATATAAGGAACCTTGCCCATGTAAAAAATAAAATCCCTAAGCATTCTCTGTCTAATTGTGTCTAGAAAATAAAATGATGTATTAGTATGTGATGCGATATACATTGGAAAAGCATCGCGAGAAGTCAAAATCAGAAGAAATGAACAATGTGGAGCATCTGTTCGACGACCGAGAAATCCAGTTGAACTACAAAATTTTGAAAAATCAAAAGCCATTAGTCTCTTCAGGTTATAGAATCAGATCACAAAATTGATTGTGACAATATTGCAATAATCCAGAAAGATTTCAGAAATCACAAATAACCTCTAATATCAGAAGTACTTCATATCAAATGGAATACAAATTGTCTGATGAATAGGAATGATGGACTAAAACAAAATCTGACCTGATTACATCATCCTTCTCCCATATGAAATGACAAGATCAATACGAATGTGATAAGCAAGTTCACTGTGTAAACACACACTGCTTTATAATTATAATTTTATACACTTATCAAATCCAACAATCTACACCTGGTTTTGTTGCCATTACCAGTTGGCTAATTTGACAACGATGATTAAGTTGTTATACTTAAGCTGAGATTTTATAAATTCTGGTTTAACAACACTTCGATAAAGTTATTAGCAGCAGCATTAAATAATAGTGAGACGTCAATAAACCAAACAATATCGTTTTGTTTTTCATTCATTGGAAAATACAAAATCTTTTATAATAATTAAGGAACTTAACTTGTCACACTACCAAAGAAAAGTGACTTATTCCTCTGCAAGAACTGGCGCAGAATTATGCTCTTTTCCACGCCTAACAAAATATTAAGTCACATCATACTGGAGAAACTAAAGGATCACCTGGATGCAGGATTCTGCCCGGAACAAGCTGGATTAAGGAAGAGCAAATCATGTGTGAATCAAATTACAGCGCTATGTATCATATCATTGAACAGAGCATAGAGCATGGGAGTCAAATCCTTACCTCAAATTCATTCAGTTTGTAAAAGCCTTGTACAGTGTTGACTGCGAAGTAATTTAGAAACTACTCCAACTCTGTGGAGTGCTGTGCCTGAAATCTTTATCAGCCTCATTCAACAGCTATATGACAGTTTCACGTGTCAGGTGATTCACAAAGTGAAACTCAGAGAAGCCTTCGAAGTGAGTACAGAAGTAAGACGGGGATGGCTACTATCACCGATGATATTCCTGATTGTGGTGGACTAGATTATGCGTCAGACTGTGGACAGTGAGAAGATAGGAATACGTTGGAAATTATCAGTTTAAATACTTCAGTATACAATGAAGAGTGCCAAATGGTTTGACTTACATTGCACAGAGGGATTTAGGGTTTCTTCTGGCTTTCCCTTACTAATTATCAAGATTACTTATATATATTCTGAGGTTTTTATATGGCATTTCATTGTGTTTATTTAAACTTCTTATTTAGATCTCCAACAGGAAACATCCTACAGAATCGAAAACGCAATCTGATAATGTAACTTCTCAACAAACAAACGGTATGTAATTATATTCTTTTTCATCGGAAAATACACCTATTTATTTAAAAAAATATAACTTTTAAGTGGAACTTTCTATGATACTACTGTTATACAAAATCATTCATTCTACTTCCTACTTTATGGTCAGAATATACTCAGAAACAATGGCTTCCATATGTCTAGAAACTTTAGCTTTGTTTGGTGACTGACTGGCTGACGTGTTTCAACATAGAATTTTGCGCCGATGTGCAGCAGTTCGAGTCGTCACACTTCACTTAGCACATAAAGCAAGAGAAGAGAGTAAAACGAGGTTCAAAACAGAGGTATTAAACAGAAAATGAGACAAAAAGAATAGTAATATCGAAGAAAAATATAATTTTATTGAATAATAAAAGTCTCAAGGAACGGATGTTTCTGCGCCATTGAGAACGATTTTGAGCCATATCACCAATTGTCTTCAGCCTTCATTGGTTTTTACAATCCCGAAGACCGCAACCAGTCAGTCAGGAAATCTACACCTCCCTACGCCTCTGGCTTAAACTAATTGTTGTAGATTTTGTTGACTGATAAAGCCATGTTGCCCGTTGAGGAAGGCGATGGCTAGACATACGTAACACATATCCTAACCATCTCAGTCAATGTAACTTTACAACCTCGTCATCGATTGATTTCTCCTCCCTACCTAGCACTCGACGGATGCCTAACCTCAATATTGATCACCCTATTATACCACTTCACACGGGAGATAGAACGCAAGCACCTATGATCAAAGACAACTAACCAACACTTCTTTCACTTTCGATAGCATGTCTCACAGCCAACCATAAAGGAGGACGGAGCGGGCTGCTGAGAAGTACACACACCCTTGGTCGATAGCTGGATATCAAATCTACGCCAGAGATGGCGTAAACTGGCATATGCGAAACAAGCCTTCTGTATCCGTGCCGAGATTTCGTCAGAGGCCTGTTGGCATTGGCAGATGCAACTTCCCAAATAAGTGAAGTGGTCAACACTCTCCACCAACCACTTTCTAAGCTAGGAGTTAGTGTAGTCCAGTCCTCTAGCCTCATCATCTTACATTTGGAGGGAGTGAATCGCATGTCAAACGTTTCAGACTGCTCCTCAAGGTGTTCAGAAGACTGCATTTTGTCAACGTTTTCACTTAGTAGGTAGGACAATATTATCTGCATATTCTAAGTCAACGAGATTATTCCCTGGTAACAATTCAATCTCTGAGTCTCTGAAGTGAGTTAAGGTTAAGTCTATTAGCACATACACCTATGATGAAATTGAATAGAAATGGGTATAGTGGACATCCCTGTCGGACACCACTAGTCACCAGTTCAAATGACAACTCTCCATAAGCTCTTACCTGGCTGCATGAGTTCCAGTAGAGGACTTGATCAGTGGAATGTATTTTCTCGAGATTCCTTTCACAGCCAAACATCGCCAGAGAACCTCTCGGTCGACAGAATCGAATACGGGCTTTAGGTCAAGAAATATAATGATTGTTGGACGCCAGTAGGAATGCCTATGTTCTAGAATCTGTCGGAGGGTGAAGAATGATCAATACACCCTCTTCCTGGTCTACAGCCTGCTTGGTTCTCTCATGTTTGTGTCTCTCGAACACCACCTAGTCTGTGCATGATTATTTAGCCTAGAACTTTAGATACCATATTAGTCAAGCTAATCCCCCTATGATTATCACAGAAAGACATGCCTCCCTTCTTATATATGTGGATAGTTAATGACTCACACCAACCCGACGGGACTTACTCTGATTCCCAGACACTGCCTAGTACCTTAGTTAACACAGACAGTAAACTGTCTCCACGGTACTTAAATACCTCTGGAGTCATCCAATCAGGTCCTGCAGCTTTGTCTCGTTTCAGACTAGTGACAACTTTCTTTGTTTGGTAACATTTCATCTGTTAGTATCAATTATTACTCTTTACATTTCATACTTGGTGGTTTTAGCGTTTGACTCTCAGCAAGTGGGCGTCGCTTAGTAGGATACTCCACAGTTGGAGAATGGATATGGAAAAAGTGTGTGTTGTGGGGGGGGTGAGATGTGGTTAAAATGCAACATAAAATACCCTCCTTCCCCACGTCTTCAACGAACAGATTACCAACCTTTCCCCCTCGTTCCTCATGTCCTTTCCAGAGATACCCCGCTTTCCCGCTGATTAGATTCCAGAGTCACCACTTTCACCAGTGTTGGCACTTATTTATTTTTTGTTATGTTATACAGATCAGTCATTTCATCATCACCATTATTCCTGCGTGAAATCTCATAAGACATCAACGAACAATATTCAACGATCAGCTAAGCCAATTCAAAATGTAGACAATGCTTTATCTAAAACAAGGAGAGTAACCGTCGATGAAAATCCACCTGGTGCTCCAATAAAGTTAACATCACAGGCTTCCAGAAAAATGGTTCATCAAAATACTAATGATAAGAAAACGTAATTATTCCTTTTATTTTGCTTTAAATATTATTTAGTAGTTCGATATGCATTTCAGTGAATGATGTTTATTACGGGCCAAATACTAATATATTTTAGTTCACGAAAAATTCCCTTTCGAACATTAATATACAGAAGACCAGTAGTTCAGCGAAGAGTCTCTTTTCGGCGAATTTCTTTTCATAGCTGTACAATCGCAAATAAATATGGTTGTTTTGTATGTGTGTACATTAAAGATACTTTATATGAACCTCGACTTCAAAGGTGGCCTACTCAATGATGTCCTTGGGAGGAGAATTTCCACTTCTTTAAGAAGAACTTTCTTTGCGGCAACATTGAGAGTAGTGTTCTCCAATCGCTCGCAAATCTACAGAAACCCAAAGGACAAGATTCCGCACCTGACCACATCTATGTGTATATATCAGTTCACCTGTTGCTGCGGAGCCAGGTACATCGGTCGTTCAACCGCATCCTATCAAAAAGGGTCAAAGAACACTATCCAGCGTGGCTGCAGAAGGGAAGTAATGGCCGTATAAGGAGTGCAATAATCGAACATCTTGTCAACACTGGTCATTCCATCTCAACAAACGCCTCCTGCTTCAAAGTAATCTACAAAGTGAAGAACAACCTTCCAAAGACAGTACAATTTCGTCTTCTTTGCATCGCAGAAGCCCTAGCCATTCAGTTGGAAGAACCAGAACTGTGCATACAAAAGAAAATTATTCAACCACTTCACTTCCCATTGGTAACAATTCAGTTGATTTGACTTAACTTTTGTTTGTATGCTTATTTTTCTAACTACTTAAAACCCTTGCGTAATTCCGTGTGTTGTTTTGTTTCCATGTACACCCTGAGCACAACTCTTTCATCAAACTATTCACGCCATCACGTAACTCTTATTTAACAATCGTTTGTGACAACTCATCACTTTTGGTTACTACCCTCTTATATCAATATCCAAGTCATGTGAACTTACTAATTGTATTTTCGTTTGACAGATTTAATGTGCACACACACACACATACAAAACAACCATATATATTTGCGATTGTACAGCTATGAAAATGAATTCGCCGAAAAGAGACTCTTCTCTGAACTACTGGTCTTCTGTATAATACATTTTAATTTTCTTTATACTTGTGTATTCAAGATGCATTAAAAATACTTTTCTGAAGTTTAATTGAAATGTAGTCATATATCGTTAGATTTCCTGTGTACATTTTCGAAATTGGTCAAGATTCGTGGCCAATGAACTGTTTCATCATTATCGTTAAAGACTTAATTTAGTTAAATATCTAAGTTCTGGACTTCGCTGATGATATATGTCTGATTTCCCACAAACTGGAAGATATGCAAGTAAAAAGCAACAAGTTGGCAGAAGAAGCATCCACAGAAGATAGGCCTTCAGGTGAACATAGAGAAAACAGAGGTGATAAAGATTATTGGCCAACAACAACAGACAACAATCAGTCAGCATAAATGGGAGGAACCTGGAAGAAACAACCTCCTTTACCTACCTGGGAAGCATCGTTTCAACTGAATGTGGAACTGATGAGGATATCAAAGCAGGATCGGGGAAGCAAGACAAGCTTTAATTTCTCTGAAGTCTGTGTGGATTTCAACAACACTCAGTATCAAAAATAAGATCCGGATTTTAGACTCCAATGTAAATTCAGTCAGTGCTACAATACGAATCAGAGACTTGGCGCGTCATAAAGAGCATCTCAAACAAACTACAAACCTTCATTAACAGCTGTCTTCGCTCAATACTAATCAAGATCAGATATCCAGAAAAGGTCAGAAACAGGGATCTCTGAAAGTGGACTAACCAGGAACCGATTGTGAAACAAATAGGCAGGAAGAAATGGAGATGGATTGGCCATACGCTGAGGAAACCATCAAGTGACATCACTAGACAAGCCATTGCTCGAGTGGAACCCGAAAGGGAGGCGGCGAGTTGGTCGTCCAGGGTGACTTAGAGGAGGTCATGTGAAGAGGAGATGAAAGTATGTGGGCAGATTTGGAGCGGGGTGAAAAGTTGGCAGAAAACAGAAGGCAATGGAGACGCGCAGCTGAAGCCCTATGTTCCTCTAGGAATTAAAGGATTAATAATAATAATAATAATCTAAGTTTATCACATGTGTAAATGTACTTTTTCATTTTGATATGGTTGCGTTCTCCGAGCTGTTAGGTGGTCCAACTGTGAAGCTTTCATTTTTGTCCTTCCAGTTCAGAGAATGCAACTACATCAAAATCATCCACCCGAGCTACAAATATTCTCCAGTACCTTCTTTTTATGTATGTACTTTTTTCCAGTTGCCATAATTCTCAGCAGCATACAAGATAAACAGAAATAGGAGGCTATTGAATAAAAGTGTTTTTCGCATGCCGGGTCACTGCCCTTCTCGACAGGCAATGTTAGCCGACATAGGACTGGGTTAAAAAACAATTGTAAAGTAAAAAAAAACTAGGATCATCCAACGAACTCTTTGACAGTTGGTTTGAGGTGCTCACGTAGGGAGGTGTAAAGTGCCAGTCTGGTTGTGATCCTCGGAATCCTAATCCTAACCAAATGACTGAACACTACTGACGATATGGTTCAAAATCGTTGTCAGTGGTGCAGGTGCATTCAGTCTTTGTGATCTCGAATATCCACTAAACCGTCATTTTTTTTTCATGTTACTATTCTTTCTCTCTCACATTTCTGGTCGATTTAACTGGTTTGAATTGCCACTTTCTCTATTTTCTCTTCCTTAATGCGCTACTATGGAGTGTGGCAACTTGAAGTGTTGCAAAGTTTTATATTGAAACTCAGTTAATAAGCCAATCTGAACAAAAATAGACGTTATATCTATTGAAAAAATTCTCTTCGCTGCAATCATTTTTTAATCTAAAGTCGTAGTGTACTATCTTTAAATTCTAAGGCAAAATATATAGACAAACAGGTGTACCAAAAAGGATCACCAATATCCCCTATCGTAGCAGACGTATTCATGGACAGCTGGGAAAATATTGCTCTTAATACATTTAATCCTACTCCAAACGTAATATGGTGGAGATATGTGGATGACACGTTTACTCATAGTGTTAAAAACAGAACATATCTCTAGCTTATTGACACATATAAACTCACAAGTAGAGGGAATAAAATTCACATTTGAATCGGAAAATGAACAAGGAGAATTAGCCGTGATGTTAGATTGTAAAATAAAACGGAGAGGAAAGGGTACACTGCACGCTAGCGTTTATAAAAAAGCCATCGCATTCTAAAAGATATTTAAACTTCAATTCATCTCATCCGTTATCTATCCGTGAAGGAAGGCTTAGTTAAGTGTCTAACAAACCGAGCAGTAGCATTAAGTAGTACAAGAAAAGACCTAAATGATGAAATAAAACAGATAGAAGAAACTTTGGTGTTAAATAACTATCCTATAAAGTGCATTAGGAACATCAGTAAAGACCAAAAGCAAAATAAAAAGTAATTGTGGAACTGGTAATGATAACATAAATATGAAAGAATATACGTCATCCACTGTTTTACCATATAAGGAGGGGACATCTGAGATCCTACGTGGGATTCTCAATAAATCAGGAATCAGGATGGCATTCAAACCTACAAACTCACTCAAGTAGGACAAGCTCTGTAGGTTAAAGGACCCTTTTGACTCAATTAGACAAAATAATATAATTTACAAAATACCCTGCAATGACTGTGAGTTAGGTCAACTACATAGGTCAAACTAGTAGGTCAGGGGTAATCAGATTATCGGAACATAAGAATTCAGCTAAGGTAAGAATGGTTGACCCCGAGAAGATAAGTAGTTTAGAAAAAAGCTCAGCTATTGCACTGGATGCATTAACACACAACCACACAATAGGGCGGGAGAGGATTAAAATTCTAAAAAGTAATCTAGGTAGGTAAAGAGAGAGGTTGATTACTGAATCCTTGTTCATCGAGTCTACACCCAACACATGCAATAGGAATGACTAATCACTCATACCGGAAATATGTAAAATACTACTACCAATCAAGTCAAGCGATGAAAAATAATGGAATTATATAAACGAAGTCAGAAAGTTGTGTTAGTGAATACCTTGATATGATTATGATCGGCAATAGGTTGTGCTCGAAACGTCACCAGTAAACATTACTGTATAACACTGTGAGACTTTATCAAAACAAATTTTACCCACAATGGAATTATACACTACCACAGTGCACAAGTTTTATTCTTATATCAATGTGTCATAAGTATGTCGTCATCCATATGCCCTAATCGATTGTTAAAGTCTAATCTCTACCTCAACTTCATCGACTTTAAAAAGGCCTTCGATAATGTTGACGATGAAGTAATTTGGAAACTACTTCAAAACTAATGGCGTGCAGTGCCCCAGATTTTTATCAGACTCATTCAACAGCTGGCTGTATGACACTGCCACGTACCAGGTGATCCACGACAGAAAACTCAGTGAGGCGTTTGACTGAATTGAATAAAAGAGTAAGACAAGGCTGCCTATTATTACTGATAATATTCTTAATTGTGGTAGATTGGACTATGCAGCTGATTAAAGGTAGCGAGAAGAGAGGAATACGTTGAATCAACATGAAGACTGTAGGAGATGTGGACTTTTCGCAGACGACTTGTGTCTAATGTCAGATAAATTCGAAGACCTGCAGGGCGAAAACCATCAAGTTGACAGAAGAGGCTCTCTGGCAACGAAGGCAGGACATTATGTGAACATAGAGAAGACGGAGGTGATGAAGATAACTGTTATGTACTCGTCGCTAAATTATTGTTATGTACTGGTCGAGAAACTAATAGTCCTGACGCAAGAAGACGAAAATCAGAAGACCACTAGGTTTGCGATGATACTTCTATTTCCAAACACAAGGAGACGAAAATAAATGGTCTCACACCAAAGTGATAAGTAAGTAAAGTAGAGTAGTTCACACAAATTGTGTATGCGAAATATATATGAATGTTCAGACAAGTGTGTGAACAAACCACTAGACAGTCTTAACATGAATGGCTAATTATAATGAAGTGTCGATCCACATATACATAGCGAAATATAACAGACATGTCAACAACCACCATATATGGATATATGTCACCAAGCAACGGACTGTCAACAAACACTCATATTATATATAATATAATATAAGGAGAATATACATTGATAAAGGAGACAAGTTCATACAAGTGAAATGGTCACAGACTAAGAGAGCAAGCAGAAAGAGAGACCAACATACACATACACACACACACACACATAAATATATATATGTGGATACATATCAATAACCAACAACAGCAACAACAACACCCAGCGCTAATCACTATCAAGAGAATAAATTTGACAAAGGTCACTTCCTTCACTTATCTAGGCAGCATCGTTTCAGCTACAGACGGAACAGATGAGGATGTCAAAATCGGAGTCGGGAAGGCGTGACAGACCTTCATCACTCTCGAAACTCAGTGTGGAAATCTTCTGCATGAAGAAGAAGTGTTGGATTTTAAATATCAATCTTAAATCAGTTATTGCTTCTATATGGGTCAGAAACTTGGCGCGTCACGAAAGACGTTCGTGACAAGTTGCAGACTTTTATCAACAGTCCTCTTTGCTGTATATTAAAGAGGAGATAATTGGTTGGTCGAAAAGAATCAGCAACGAGAAATTCTGTGAATGAACCAGTCAAGAGAACTTGTCGCTCAACACACATATTCTGACATGGGTGAACTCGAATAGGAGGTGACGACTTGCACATCCGAGACTGATATTCAGAAGATAGTGTGAGGAGGATGTGAAAACCAACGTTTAAAGGACATCAACCTATTTGCATTTTTATTCAATAGGCATAATGAACTAAAGGTTATTGACTTCCACAAGTGGTATTATATACTCTGCAGATGACAGTTAACTGTCTCGAACTTAATTCTCCTCCAATAAGCATTATTTTATCGTCGTTGTCGTTGTTGTTATTCATCCTTTGCAATCCGAGTGAAGCATCAGGCCTCAGCAGAATCCGATCCTGTGTCATCATTTTTATCTGGCTGCACGAGTATGCGAACAAGCGCCTGCATTTCTGGCTTCAGATGATCTTCTCTGTGTCACCTTTGAACGGGGGAAATCGTGGTTCACCATTCAAGTTCCAATCAAGGGCCTAGTGTATTTTGTTACTTAAGTATCTCCTTAGCGTATATCTAATTGGCTCGTTTGTTGCCTGTTAGGATTCCTTCTTGCTTGTCTTTTCTGACCGGTCGTTTAGTCTTTAGTGTGAAGAGAAGGCAGGTGTTGATCAAGTCAAGATCATGTATTGAAATAAATATTGATTCTCTGACTTAGCGTTTCTCAGATATCTCAACCGACGCACAACATAAATCTAGAAATTTATCTGCTTCTTCAGTACCTTTCTTTTATCTGCATTCCGATAAACTAAGAACAAGTTAGATAGTGTCATATGAAGATGTTGACTTAAAAAAATGAATAAATACTATTTCACTGTAACATTCTGTTAAATAATTTATTTTGTTCAATGTTTTATTTTGGTGTTTTTGTTTTAGTAAACAAGATACACTAAGAAAATTGAACTCCAGTCGATCAAATAGTCTAGATGTTCATTGTAAGAGTGTTCAAGGTAAGATGTCATCAAATATTACGATTATTATTATTATCTCAAAAGACTGTTTATTGAACAAAGAGTATTCTTATTTGTCCTCGATAACTCCTTCATCAGGTTCTACAGTTATATATATATATATTACACTGTCTTCAAAAACACCCCTATTTTTCGTTTGGGAGTAAAACACAAACAGCCTAATTTCTCCGCTTCCATCTTTATCTACCAGTTTAACTGCTCCTGTGGAGTGAGTCAGTTACATAGGCCGTATAATTAGGCGTGTTTCTCGTCGGATTTCTGAACATCACCCTGCACAGTGGTTAAGTAAAGGACAAACAAAATCGATTCGCAGCGCTATTCTATATCATCTTGTGGATACAGATACACACCAGATTGATGTTAACCAGGCTTTCAGGGTCATTTACTGCATACCTACGAATCTCAATTTCGCCTTAAGAGTTCGACTACTAAATATTGCTGAGGCTGGTCATTGGGATTCATATTAAGAAGCCTAATTTATGCATCCATAAGAAGTTAGTTCAGAAATTTCCATTACCTTGGCCATCTAGGTTTGAATGATCCTGAATGTTTGTGGAATTTTCCTAATTTTAGTCGATATTCTATTTGCTACTATATCACTATTATTATTATTATAATTTAAGCATTTTTAATAAGCTGTAATTCCATTGATCTTACTTAACAAATCGATATTATTTAAAAAAACACTAATCTTTTTATTGACTGCTATTCTAGAATATTCTATGTGTATAAACATGTATACATTAACTGTATAGCCAGAAGAGTAAATTATCGAAGAGGATATTCTTTGCTCAATTATTTTTTTTTTTTTATAAAAGTTATTGTTATTGAAAACATTAATGGCTTTTAAAGCAACTTCAAATCAAATGTTGGTTCTCAGGGATTTGATTGGTTACAGGTTTGATCAGGAGTTGAATTCAGTTGGATAACCACTGAAAAGCCAAGGAGTACTGGACAGCTATCTGTTTCGTCCTAGTTTGTGGCTCCTCATCAGGACCTTCTGGTTACATGGTGAGCCTGTAGACCATGAAGCCACTGAGATCCGACCCTAGGTTCGAACTCCAGTCGGTGCGTACCAATGAGCAGTCCCAAAACTAGGAAGAAACAGCTGTCCAGTACTCCCAGGTTTATCAATGGTTCTACAGTTGATGTTAATTCATGATCAAACCTGTAACTTCGAAACATTGACATCAGAATTCCAAAAGTTATTTGCAACTAGATTGTATGTAGTAATATGTTTAATTGTTTAACAACAAATTGAACACCTCTATTCTAAAGTAAATGATCATGAATAACAACAAATATATACAGTAATGAATTCTCATGAGTCACTATCATATTAAATTCTATTCATATGGATGAATGGTAATCTCAATGATGGGGAGATAAGGTGGAGTGGAAAGTTATGTGCGTGTATATATGTCTGTGTGTGTGTGTGTGTGTGTCAGTGTGTAAACTAATGACTAAGTTTAAATAAGAAAACAAGGTAGGGGGGTTAATTAATTCAAGTCTACTAATAAACAGGTAAGGTAATTTATGTATACAGGATGGAAGGCCATGCATAAAAGGCAGATGTAATATAGTATTTATGAATTCGTAGATTCCACAGAAATGGTTGGACCAGTCTCTTCTGCACCCACAGCAGAGATTTTTTTTAAGCGAATTGAAGTATTCGGTACCTGGATGTTTTCGTCAATTTATCTGATAACTGTGATAGGTCATAGAGAAGGATTCTTCAATGCTAGCGCTTTATGTCTGGTTTGGACCAGGTCATCCATCTTATATCGACCTGCTGATGGTTTTCACTACATCTTCACTATTATCTGTGTATTTTTATACAATAATAGTTGGTGAACAATATATTCCTGGTCATATAACAAATAATTCTGCCCTGATGAAAGTACAGTCATCAAGTGATCATGACAAAAGTGATAAATCATTTGGGGTAAGTATGAAATTTTCTTCAAAATTTCAATAAATTCTCTTATTTTATTCATTTAACTAATCTTTAAGTGACAATGAATTCGAATACAAATTTCAATATTTTTGAAGAATAGTGAAACGTTGAACAACTTCTTTGTTTTAGCTTACTAAGTATCAATAAATTCGATGTGTTTTTTTATTCAGAATCAAATTGAACGCAGAATAATTAAGTGTTGATGGGGAAAATCTATCTGAAATATAGTTGCGATTTCACTTCAATAATCTGAGTAAATGAAGGTTAATTATGCAAAGAAGTGTTGTGTTCAGTATAGCTCCTTGTTTGTTGTTTCATATAAATATTAAAGTTGATATTGAAATATCAATGCAACTGTGGTTGGTTGGTTAAAAACAATTACAAAAAGTACTCATAGACATGTCAATTCAAAAGACTCTAATTCAGAATAATCAATGGATTAGATGTAATAGTGTGAAATAGGTTATTATGTCGTAGATTGTATAAAAGATCTCTATTGACTGGCTATGAGATATGTTTTTTTCTTGAGTTCTTATGACAGTTAGTCATTATTTGGGTCCACCAAGTCGGCAGTGAGAGCACCTACTTGTCAATAAAATCAAATGACGGTGGCGCTTGTTATCTTCGGGTACCTGAAACGGAAAGAAGATCAGTGTTACGTGACCACAGAGCCCAGGAGACGACTGCTTGAAGCCTATCACACACCGCCTGCATGAACTGGTTCCTTGGATTTGTTCCGTATTAGTAACTTGCGGACCACCGTAGGTTGTCGAGATGTACAGTTTTTGGGGTCGACCTTTTATAACCTCTCCTCTCCAGAGTTGAGAGACAACATAGCTGGCAGGCATGCTGCTTATCTAAGGGAAATACCTTACTGCTGTTACATCTCTGTTCCCCAGCAGCACGACTTTTCCCACAGACCCCCAGCATAGTGAGGGAAAGCAAATCTTACACTGTGCCGGTAACTGCTTTTAGTCTAACCGCTACCCTAACAACCTTCCTGACATGGTAGGACCTGCAGGAACAAAATTTCCAGCCAGTGTAGCTTGTCGGGTCATTGCGATATGTCAGCCCGACCACGACGTCAAGGTAGCAGCTATTGGTCGAGATTAGTATAATAGGTATAAAGGGTGAGAAATATTGAGGTTAGGCGTCGAGTGCTAGTTAATGAGGGGAGATCAATCGCGAGGTTGTAAAATTACATCGATTGAGTGAGATGGCTAGGCATGCGCTAGGCACATGTCCTAGCCACCGCCTTCCTGCACGGGCAACGTCAGCTGACTGACATAGTATGGATCAGGTTGGAAAAGAGCTGCTAGTGGTGGTCAAACCAAAACGTGGCTTATTCAGTCAATGAGATCCAAAACAGTTAGTTTAAGCCAGCTAGCCACATGTAGGGGTGTAGACTGGCTTCGTGGTTGGGGTCCTCGGGACTGTAAACACCAATGAAGTTGGAGACAATTGGTGATATGGCTCAAAATTGTCGTTCCCAATGACTAGCGCAGATGCATCTACTCCTTGTGACTTATAATTTCCAGTGAAACTATATTGTTCTTCCATATTACTATTAATTTGTCTCACACCTCTGTTTACTGTCTCTATTTTGCGTTCCATTTCACTTTCTTCTTCTTCTTCTTCTCTTGCTTTGTATGCTGAATAAGGTGTGGTGAATTGAGTAGCTGAGCATCGGTGCAAAGTTCTATGTTGAAACCAGTGAGTCAGTTAGTCTTCGTTATCTAGAACTGTCAAAAGTTAAACTTTATAGATCACTGAATTCCAGCTGGTTTGCTGGATTCCTGGTTAAATGGCCGCCTCGTAGACTGTCAGTGGTGGGTGCATTGATCCCCAGTGGGTCTAGGTGTTTAATCTTTAAAGGATTCTAAAAATAGAACAAAACTGCTGCCTAGTGCTACATGTTTTTCATTGATTCGTTAACTGATACAAGTTTGTAATGAATTCTACGCCTGCTAACGCTAAACCTGAGAACAAACTAACCATTTTGTCTTATGAGCAAATATGGTTAACAATTATGTTTGAATGGAAAGACGAAAAACAAAAGACATAGAAGAAGGATGGTGAAGCTGATTTTGCAAGTGTTTTTATCTGTCCGACAAAAAAGTAAAATTAGATCTTGAATTATGTTGATAGTCATAAAAATGAAAATAGTTGTTCTTTTGAATTCAAAGTTGGATGCTTACCACTTGTATTAAGTCGAATAGGAAGACATGTATGTAATTCATTTGAAAATCAGCTGGTAAATATTCCAGGTCTATGTCGACTTCATGATTTGATTAATTGGGCTACACAAATAATGCTTAGTTGGCTGTGGCTAGGAATTCAATCCGCGATGTACAACTCATACCATCTAGGACTCATCACCTGAATGTACATGCATGATAGTGTTCTCACTGAGGTTCGAAAACAGCACACATTGTTTCAAACGCCAAAGTGTTATCAACCGGGCCGCGTAGAATAACCTTTTGGCGTTTAGGCCATCCAGATGATGAATCCGAATATTGGCCAAAACCCATATTCCAGATTAAATCTGTAGCTACCACCAACCAAGTAGCACCTTCATCTCAAGACATCGTGTAAGCCTTCGTACTCAAGGCTGAAATGTTAACAGGGATTGAACATTTCGGTCCAGTGTATAGACAATCAACAGGAAATCTAAAAATAACTTCAACAAATAGTTGCACAAATGTTTAATTTTAAAAAAATTATTACTTTTTATTATTATTTAATAGTGGCATTATTTTGAACAATTTTGATATAATGTATAGAATTTTTAGCGGAGTCTTTCGCATGATATTTTTCTCTTCATCGAAGATCTTCACATAAAAGATTATTATTATTGTTGCTTTGGGTTCCGAGCGGAACTTAGGGCTTCAACTGCACATCTCTTTCTCCTATCTTCTGCCACCCACTTCAGCTGGATCCACGATTCTGTCTGTCTCTGTCTGGATTCAACATAGAACTTGGCACCGAAGTGCACCAGTTCCAGTTGCCACGTTCCAAATAGCACACAAAGGTACACAAGAAGATGAGTGAAGAGAATCAATAGAGTTTGACAAGTATAAGAGTGAAACAGAATGGGTAATAGTAGAAGGGAATATGAAAGATTACAGAGACTGAATACATCTGAGCTGGCCATTGACAACGATTTTGAGCCATGTCACCTATTGTCTCCAGCCATTGATTCTTAGAGTCAGTCCCGAGGGCCCCAACCCGGGAGTCTGCATCTCCCTACCTGACTGACTCAGTTTAACTGTCAAGGATTTCATGGATTGATGTCATGTTTTTGTTTTGCCACCACTGGCTCTTTTCCAACCTGAACCTATATCAGCTAGCAATGCCTGTCGTCGGGGAGGCGGTGGTTAGGCATGCGCAGCACGTGACCTAGCCATCTCAATTTATGTAACTTTATAGCCTCGTCGATTGATTTTCCCTCTTTGCCCAACACTCCACGATTGACGATAATCTCTCATCTCCTCCTCACCACACGATCTCCTCCATGTCACGCTCGCACCGACGACCCACATGTCTCTCCCCATTTGAATTCCACTCGAGCGATGGCCTGGCGCACGATGTCATTCGACGGTCTAATCAATGTATGCTCGATCAATCCATCTCCATTTTCTACTACATATTTGTTGAGCAGTCGACTCTTGGTTGGTTTGTTCCACTGCAGAGTTTCTTGTTATTAATTCTTTCTGGTTGGCCGTTTGATCTCTAGGATGGAGCCAGCCAACGAAGTTGGTAGCTGCTGATGAAAGTCTGCTGTAGCCTGTTGGAAATCCTTTTCAAGACTCACCTGTCAAGTTTCTAACCCGTATAGAAGGACAGATTTGACATTGATGTTGAAAATGGAATCTTGTTCTTGTCACTGAGGCGGAGTGCAGAAGATTTCAAGACTAGTTTCAGTTTGATGAAGGCATATTTTGCCTTTCGACTCTGACTGACTTTGACATCTTCATCCATTCCGGATGCCTGTAGTTGAAACGATGTTTCCTAGGTAAGTGAAGAAAGTGACCTCTGTTAAAACTCTCCCGTTGATGATGATTGGTGCTGGCTGTTGTTGTTGTTGGTGGTGGTGGTTGTGTTGGTTATCTTCATCACCTCTGTCTTATCTATGTTCACTTGATATCCTGTCTTCTCTGTCATACGGCCTCTTCTGTCAACTTGTTGGTTTTCGCTTGCAATTCTTCGAGTTTGTGTGACATTAGACATATATCATCTGAGAAATACAGATCTTCTAGAATCTTCTTATCGGTGGTCCAGCGTATTCCTGACTCTTCGCTCCCAAGCACAGTCTGACGCATAATCCAGTCCACTACAATTAAGAATATCATCGATGATAATAGGCAGCCTTGTCGTGATCCTGGATGAAATTGGTTCCTAACGCATAAGGGCTCTGGCTGCCACTGGTGACATCATGAAAGCCACTCCCTCATTGTTTTTTTTGGTTGTCGTGTGGCTGATGAGACCGGAGTAAATTAATGACTCTCCAGTTGACGATTTTGACAATCCACATCCATTCCATCTGCTACCGCAGATACCCAGGACTTCTATACCATACCTGTGTATTTCTTTGGCTACCTGAGCAGTCTTCCCAGTCTCGAAGATTTTACGGACATTCCACATCTCCGTTCTTATTCTCGCTTTCATAGAGAGAAGACACGTTGGCTAACTGGTTGGCTTTCCAAAGGCTTCCATCAGCCTACTGTATTGTTCCGCTTCTCCAATTCCAGCGAAGAGTAATATTGTTACTTGAATTTTTTGTATTTTTAACTTATTTTTTGTGCGTTGAAGTTTCTCTAGCGGTTTGGTAGTTTTAGTGGTGTGTGGTTGCTAGCCCTACGCCCAACTCTCCATCTTCATCCGGGCATGGTACCGGATAGAAAACTAGCAAGCTAGTTAACTAGGCAAGATAAAAGATTAATTGGCAGTAAATTGTGTGACACAGTTCTATCTGACCGGCAAGTGCAAACCAATCCACTATGACGATATTTCTTCTTTTTCTCCTTCAAGAATTATGCGACGACATTTTGTTGAATGCTAATCATAAAAAGTTCAGGAGTACATTTTGTAAACCAAGGACACCACTCAGGAACGGTCAACTCATTTATTAGTAGAAACTTGTGAATCAGCAAGTTGTGAACATTTAAAATACTCGCTAGAGTAAACTATACTATTTGCGGTTATATTTTAATAGATTTAAACAAACTAATTGTGAGAAATAATATATACAATATATTGATGGAGGTTTTCGGTAGACCAAGTTTTAATCAGGCCGCCATTATATTTCTTCAGTTAAACATAACCGACGATACTGAGATATTTTTATACACACAAAATAACTAGATGCATACAAGTTGCAGAATTAACGAATTCGATCGGAGGAGAATTAAATTGTTGTCACTCCCTGATTTGGACTTGAAAACACAACCTTGATTCATAGAAAGTGGTGAACAACTCTTTGTGGTATAGTCAGAATACATAACTTTGAAATATTTAGCTAAGCCTTTCACCGGGTTTCGTTTGTATCAGAGTGGTACAACGCGTAGAAAGTAAGTGCCTAGACTTTTCGATGCCAATATATTCCACATAAGTCCTACGGGATTAGAGAAAAAAGTAATATAGTTCTGTCATTTTATCTTTTTTTCTTTCTCTTGTCAATGAAATTACAAAAATCTGCTGTCAATCCATTTTCTAATTAAAAACCTCATATCTGTGCTGCTTGGTTAGTTCAATAGTAAGTAGTTTGATTCATTAGATTTTCCGTTGTATATCCTAACTTTCCTGTTTGTTTTTTTATTTACCTGTTTAGAAAATTCTCAAGGAGCTTGATAGAGAAAAAATGCAGAGAAAACAAGTTGAACAGTTGTGTCAACAATTGGTTAATAGAATACGTGAACTAGAAACTTCTGGTAAGCTTTTACCATTGTGGTTTTTAAGAAGAAGCTTTAGTTTTATTTGTAATGTACACACAGTAACAATAATCTGAATTTAGGTTTGTTAAGTGTAGTGTAAAGTGAGGAATCAGTAGAATAAAAAGAACTTTCTTAAACTTATCATCGGTGACACAACGGTTAGGACGCTTACCGATCATGCACATGGTTCGGGGTTTAATTCCCGAACGACGTACATCTGATATCAATGCTCGGTTTGCTAAATCTGGGCTGCCGATATTAAATGCTGAAAATTTCTTACTTGTATCAAAAACACTGTGCGGAGTCAAACTACAATGGAACTTTAAATTTAATTTAATAAATACCACTGCTACCAAAACTTCAAGCTTCTAGCTTGAAGGTTCCCTATGTTCCACTAGGAATGCAAAGGAAAGTCGTGATCATTGAGATCTATCAGATCAGGTGTTAGGATAAGTACTCACCGATGGTATTGGCGCTAAATATCGTGAATTGACGGAAGTTAGAATTTATAGGTCGTTGGATTCTGTTTGAGTGGCTGAAGAATGGTCAATGAGTTCGCCTTATAACCCGAAGGTCTCTGGATCGATTATCCTATGGTGTGGGGTCATGAGTACTTAGCGATGAAAAGTCCTAAACTAGGACGAAACAGCTATTCAAAGCCTGCTGGTGATTTTCAACGATTCTGTATCAATCTATGATCAAAATTGAAACAAATTAAATCCTTAAAAACTAACACTTGGAAGTATTCCTTGATCTTTTTGATTGAACACTAGTCAGTATCTAGTGTAATGTGTCTAGTTCTTCGTTTGACGCAGACTGAATTCTATCAGTCAGGTTTGCAATGTGGTCACAATTCTAGGTAGCTCGCCATCGCGATGCACTTCGAATTGTTGATATTAGACTGTTAGAGGCAGTCGGCAGGAAGCTTTGCTTCACCTAGGTTTCGTGCTAGTTGGCGCTCACTATTCAGCAAGGCGTATCTGCAGCCTTGAAGGACCCTCATGACCCTTCTGAGACTGGAACCCGCGTCACCTAGTGCTGCTGTCAGAGACGTTACCACTGAGCTATTCGGGCTCGTGATTCACCTCCTGTAGGACTGTAATGGATACTTTTGATTGGACAATAGTCAGTAACTAGTGTTAATGTGTAATATTCCTTGATCTCTATGGAATATACTGATATTTTTTGGATTTTGTACATATCACACATAAATATATGGAATAATCGCAACGGTTAGTGATGTTATATTATGTTCACATGTCATCTATTGAATACAGACTGAAAAGATGTTTGAATTAACCTCTATGCAAACCTTAAACTCAATATTTCATTCACAATATAATGATCAAAATGTGTTCTGTGTTAGACAGTTACTTGCTGTGCATAAGTAAATTTAAAGTATATCTTGCTAAAAATACATCACCTACTGATAATACCTTTTGGGATATTATTCATTTTCGTGAGCAGTTTTCTCATTTTGTATGCAGTAATTCATGAGGATGAAATGTGTTTTGATTATACTCAGGACAGATGACCAGCTTCTAGAATGAATGACTGACTGACTGAATTTCATCGTAGAACTCTGCACAGAAGTGCAATAGTTCTAGTTGCCACACTCCATGTAGTACACAAAGGAAGACAAAAGAGATTCAAAACAACAATAACAAGCAGAAATGCAAAGGAGAAGGAAAACAATAGGATTTTATAGGATATGGAAGATCTCAAAGAATGAGTGAGTGCGTCTTCACCATTGACAGCGATTTCGGGCCATTTCACCAATTGTCTCCAGTTATTGGTCCTCTGTCTGTCTGTCTGTCTGGATTCAACATAGAACTGGCACCGAAGTGCTCCAGTTCGAGTTGCCACGTTCCAAATAGCACACAGAGGTAGACAAGAAGATGAGTGAAGAGAATCAATACAGTCTGACAAGTATAAGAGTGAAACAGAATGGGTAATGGTACAAAGGAATATGAAAGAATACAGAGACTGAATACATCTGAGCTGGCCATTGACAACGATTTTAAGCCATGTCACCTATTGTCTCCAGCCATTGATTCTTAGAGTCAGTCCCGAGGGCCCCAACCCGGGAGTCTGCATCTCCCTACCTGACTGACTCAGTTTAACTGTCAAGGATTTCATGGATTGATGAGGCCATGTTTTTGTTTGGCCACCACTGGCTCTTTTCCAACCTGAACCTACATCAGCTAGCAATCCCCGTCGGGAGAGGCGATGGTTAGGCATGCGCAACACGTCACCTAGCCATCTCAGTCTATGTAACTTTATAGCCTCGTCGATTGATTTTCCCTCTTTGTCCAACACTCTACGCCTAACGTTAACATTACTTACCCTATTAAACCACCTAACGTGGTCCTCAGCAGCTAAAGGTCCTTTACTAGGCAAAGTATACTTTCCTACGATGGATACTAAGACTAACTGTCAAATACTTTGTGGACTGACTCCAGCTTTTTGTTATACAATCTCTGACTCTTTTCAAACAAATTGTATGTCAGCTAACAGTGCCCATTAAGGGAGCCGATAGCTAGAGATGTGTAACATGTGTCCTAATGATCTCAGTCGTTGTAGCTTCACAACCCTATCGATTAACTTACACTTCTTATCTAACACTCGACAGATGTCTAACCTCGGTGCTACTCATCCTGATATGCCAGGATCGGAAATCTTCTGCAATCACTCGGTATAAAGAAAAAGATTCGGCCTTTCAACACCAATGTTATTAAATCAGTTATTTCTTCTATAGCGTCAGAAACTTAGCGTGTCATGAGAAGAATTTCCAACAAGTTACAAACTTTATCAACAGCTGCCACCTTCGTTGGTGGCCTCATACTGAAATCAAATGGCCGGTCAGTTGGTCAGAAAGAATTACCAACAATAAACTCTGACAACAAACTAACCAAGGAGTCAATTGGTAGATAGTGACTAACAGTGGAATCCAGGGTGTGCATTTCGTCCTACTCGGGACTCGTCACTGGATGTGCCTGCAGTCCTCAGTGAATGTTGGTTTTCCCACGAGGATTGAACCAAGTGCTGATATGTCAATCTGATACTGAGCACTTCAGTCCAATCGATCGACGAGAAAATCTAAAATCGAATTAAAACTTACCAAGAGTCGATTGCTCAACAAATGTGTAGGAAAAAGCGGAGATGGACCGGGAATACGTTGAGGAGCCCGTCGAATGACTTATCGTGCAATGCAGGCGATTGCTCGAGTGGGACCTGAACGAGAAAAAATGAATAGGTCCTCAGTGCGAGGGTGTCATGGAGGAGATGAGAGATTATGGTCAATCGTGGACCCAGCTGAAGAGGAATGCGGAAAATAGAACTAAGCGGATATGTGTTGTTGACGCCCTATACTCCACACTCAGAATCCGAGGGAAGAATAAAATAATAATGTACCACCTAATACGGGAGGGAGGGAGGAAGCAGACACCTATGATCAAAGATAGCTAGCCTTTCAAAGTCTTTCACTTTCAATGGCCATATCTCCCAGTCATAAAGAAGTGCGGAGCAAACTTGTGCCTAGTACAGACGTTCTTTGATCGATAACCGGATACTACCTCTACTCTATGTATGGCTTCAGTCGGTAAGAGCCACATGAACCTCTTCTATCTGTGTTGACATTTCGGCAACAATCGGTCCACTGGAGCTTCTGCAATTTCCCAAATAAGTGAAGTGGTCAACACACTGTACCACTTCCTTCCCAATCTTTAAGCTAGAGTTCGGTGTATTCCAGTCTTGTATCATCATCATCTGACTAGACGTTTTTTGGAATTCCATATAATCTCTTAAAATATCGGTTGTGAGGTGGTGTAATCTCTCCGTCTAAGTGATGAAAGCATAAATGGAAAATATACCTCATTGATGGATAACGTTAATCACAATAATTATGTTTTTCTACTTGTATTGACTTCTGTCCAGAATGTTTAAATCTCTGTTATGATTGTTGTATGTGTATTAAGTACAGTAGCAGTCTGAATATTTACCATTTTGTACCTTTTGCATAATACAGCGATTGACGAAACCGAAGCACTGAAAGTTACCGAAGATTTAAAACAAGCATTCACTGCAGAACGTCATGAAAAGTTAGCAATACAATTACAGTTGAGTGAAATGGAAGTAAGTTCTTATACTAAGTTTGTAGATCGCCTCCTTTTTGTCTTATATACTGTTTATGTTTAAGTTAAGTTCCAGTGATGCAGTTTCAAAAATTCAATGAAGAATTTTCTGACGTTTAAGATTTCATACGGATTAATACTTCGATGAAGTGCACCAGTAGGCCAGTAGTAGAATGCCTGGCAACCACTTTTACGTGATTCGGGTTCGATCCTCAGCCAGTGTACTCCTTAACGTCCCGTAACCGGAATTAAGTCTGGTGAAGAGGAAAGATTGGACACGATGCCTGCCAGAAAGCTCACCTCGTAAAAAAGAAAACATCGCTATTGAAACTCCAGGGCTTAATCTAGATGCCTTATGTTCCACTGGGAACGCGAAGACATTGAACAGTAAGAAAATAATTCAATGAGAGAGATTGGATTATAACTAACGTACTAAGAGATTACAGTCACTTTGAAGGACTTTTAGACTAAATTTGTTACTATTTAGTGACTTATTTATCTATGTCATCCAGTCCTACAATGCCAACCCTCTCATACCATAAACTATAAAATATAGAATTCTTAAACATCAGAACTAACATAGGTATAAATCCACCCATGGTAGATAAAAATTTCTTCAAGAATGTGCAAACTCTGTAATAATCTCAGCTGAAAATATAAAGCCCAGAAGGAATAGAGCTTTGTGAGGATCTACTCCTAGCGTCTAACATCAGACACAGGAATTTTCCAACTAATCGATATTCTTTGTAATCGTCACGAATGAAGATCAGATTGGGAAAACCACTATCTTATCTCAGTTCCTTCTGACTGAATTGTAGCATGCTTGTTTTTTAACACCAAAGCTTTGATGAACAGCATAGAGCTGCGGAGCATCAAGCTGAGGTCAACTACAGAGGTCAAACTAATAGATCGGGAGTAGTGAGATTATCAGAACATAAGAATTTAGTGGCTAAGTTTAGAATGATTGACTCCACGAAGATAAGTAATTTGGAAGAAAAGTTCAGCAGTTGCACTGCATGCATTAACACACGCCTGTACAATAGGGTGGGAGAGGGTTAAAATTCTAAAAAGTATCTTCAGAGGCTGTACAGTCGTATTTATACTTACAAAAATATATAGTGGTCTACTATTGAGTAATAGGAGGTGACATAATTGATATAATTATTCATAAGTGGCTTTAGAAGTGAAAATGAAAAGTTATAAACTACGTGGTAGTCAACGGCACAAAGATAGAAATTTGATAAGGTTAAAATTGCTATTGAGTGAGAATAAAGGTGATATTTGAGTGTCAATTTAACAAGTGTGAAGAGGGCGTGAAAATATACAAAAGGAGCATATGAGAGTGATAATACTGAATTAATTATTAAAGCAAAAGCAAACTATAAATAAAATTAAAAATTAAAAAACAAAGGAAAAACCGAAATTTTTTACAGGGAACGATTAGTGAAGAGGTTAATACCAAGGTAGAATAAGAGACTAGACAAACTTTTTCTGTATACAGAGTTCGGGGTTGTACTGATGAATTGCCAGCGCCTCCACCATACACAAAAGCCGAAACCTGACGCCCATTGTACAATTTGGCTTCACTTTGTAGATGATGTTGAAAGACGACTCTGGTGGAACTACTTGGCCTAAGATCACCAAATGCTCGAGAATTGAGCTAGTCTTGTATTGTCCTTTTGCTAATCATGCCGGATAATGTTCAGAGATGCATTTGGAAAGAGTGTGCTTTGTGTGGTCAATATAACTAGCTCCGTACGATCAGGTGAATTTATAAACACACATGGAGGTAGTCCAAAGCGGCAGTTTATCCTTCACACATCCGTTGATCATTTGTCGGCTGTAGAAATTGATACGTAGCTCAGCCATAAAGAAGGCTTTTTCAGTGATCTGCATAGGCGATTCTTCAGGATCTCAGCTGCGTTATCACCTTTAAATTCAACACTCATAAATAGCGGTTTCTTCGGCACCGTGTGGATTCTTTCAGGTTTTTTTCTTAACTTCATGTTTTTCTCGATAAATCTTGGAGGATATCCATTCTCTATGAGGATTTGTCTGAGTCGCTCTGGGTCCCCATCGGTTGTATCACTGGAACATATCCTCCTTATTCCTGAGGATAGGGAGTGGATCAGATTTCTCTTTCTTCTCAAAGGGACCCAGCTATGGAAATTTGTGTACTGACCATTTCATGTTGGTTTCCTGTAGATCGATCTTTGAAGAGAACCCCCAGATCTCCTATTTAGAAAAACATCCAAAAAATGGAATTCCGAGTTAATCTGTGATTCCGACGTGAACTTGATGGCATAATGGCAGCTGTTGAACTCCTAAGTTATCAATTCGATTTTGGTATTGTCGTCACATATGATGAAAGTATCATCCATGTATCTTTGGTACAGATGGAAACTGTCGATAGTAGTTCGTAAATACTATTCCCATAACTAGCCAAAAAGCAGTCTGCAAGTAAAGGACCAAATGGTGACCCCATTGCCACTCCATCTCCTTGTCTATAAATCGTGTTGTTGAACTTGAACTGGACATTTAGGGTGTACCTCAGTAGTAGTTCCTTTAAGTAGTGGATCGGAACACATACGTCTACATTATTATCCTCAATGAATTTGCATATAAAGCAGATAGTTTCAGTGAGGAGAACGTTGAACTTACCTTTTCTTTCATTAGTTTAAATTTTTAAAACAAAATTCTTACTATTCACTACTGTGGTATCTTTAAATATAGAAAAAATTTAATGAAGTCTGTCAAGCTGCTGAAAATCTGCGTATTAAAGAAGATACAGCAAAAAGTCTTTATCAACAAGAGGTAAGATCATAAATTTCTAATTCCTAATCAAGTATTATTCATTTTTTATTCTTTTCTGTTCTGAGTGGAATATAGGTCTTGAACAAGGCATCTGCATTTTGTACTATTCTCTTCAGTCCTTTTCAACTAGCCTTACGATTGCCCATAATCTCTCATCTCCTAACGCTCGCACAATCTCTTCTATGTCACCCTCGGGCTGGCACTCAACTCTTCCTATTCCGTCCGGGTTCCACTTGTGGGTCTGTTTGGTGCGTGAGATCACTCAACGATCTCCTCAGTGAGTGTTCGATTCATCTCCATCGTCTTCGGAATATAACTGTTGAGCGATAGGTTCTTGATTGCTTCGTTCGCAGTGTTTCTCATTAGCAGCATAGAATAAGTGGTACTCGGGAGAAACAAACACGAGAGAACCAGGCAGGCTTTAGACCAGAGAGAGAGAATGTATTGATCATATCTTCACCCTTCAACAGATTCTAGAACACAGACATACTTGTTTGTAGCGTCCAGCAATAGTAATATTTTTTTGATCTGAAAACGGCATTCGATTCCATCGACCGAGAGGTATTATGACGATGTATGACTGTGAAGAGAATGCCGACAAAATATATCACACTAATCAAGGCACTCTACTCGAACTCATGCAGTCAGATGAGGGCTTACGGCGAGTTGTCATCTGAAGTAGTGACAACTGGTGGTGTCCGTCAGGGATGCCCATTGTCCCCAATTCTATTCAATTTCATCATAGATGTACTAATGGAATTAACCCAAACTGACTTCAGCGACTCAGAGATTGACTTGTTACCAGGGTATAATCTCGTTTACTTAGAATATGCAGACGATATAGTCCTTCTAGGTGAGATGAAGACGCTGACAAAATGTAGAGTCTTTTGAACACTTATCATTGTGTGTAAACTATTGAAATATAATTATACTTTATTTGATCTTCTGAACACCTTGGTTTGAAATCTGCGGATATGATGGAGAAGATTTGTAGCTCAGGTGGATAATTCTGATGTGCTTGTGTTCTCTGATCTGGATAGTTAATTTGCGAAGCTTTCATTGCCCTTCTGGGCGACATCTTCAGTGCATACTTCAATTTGAAGTCTGCGGATGTTTGACATGCAATCGCCCCCGCCAAATGTAAGATGATGAAGCTACATGACTGGACTACATTGCCTCCTAGCCTAAAGATTTTGAGTGAAGTGGTAGAGCATGTTGACCACTTCACTTATTTGGGAAGTTGCGTCAGCCAACACCAACGGGTTGATCGCTGATGAAATCTCAGCACGATACAGAAGGCTTGTTTGGCACATGCCAACTTGTGCGTCGGTGGCACAGTGGCTAGGACTCTCGCCGACCATGCACATGGTCCGGGTTCGAGCCCCTTCCGATGCACACCTGATATCTATGGTCGGCCTGCAAAATTTGGGCTACCGATATCCATGCTGAAAATTCCATACTTGTACCAAAAATACAGTGTGGAATCAAGCTATAAATCAAAAATAAAAAATAAAAAAATGAAATCTCTTGCGTAGACGTAATATCCAACTCCTGATCAAAGGCTGTGAATGCTGCTCAGCAGTTCTCTCCATTACTCCTTTATGGCCATGGTAAATGGAAAATATGAAAAGGTTAGCCGTCTTTGATCATAGGTGTCTGCTTTCTGTCTCCTGTGTTAGGTGGCTTAATAGGATGAGTTATGCTGACGTCAGACGTCGATTATTAGGTAAGGAGGGAAAGTCAACCGATAAGGTTGTGAAGCTACATCCATTGAGATAGCTGAGACATGTGTTAGGTATGCCTAGCTATCGCCTTCCCCTACGAGCATTGTTAGCTGATATTGGATGAATTAAGTTGGAAAAGAGCTAGTGATGGTGATTAAACAAAAATTATGGTATCAGTCAATGAAATCCACACCAGTTAGTTTAAGCCAGACACGCAGGGAGGTGTAGACCTACCAATTGGTTGGGACCCCAGGTATACTTAAAGCCAATGGCTGGAGATAGTCGGTGATATGACTCAAAATCGTTCTGAATGAAAGCGCAGGTGCATATGCTCCTTACTATTATTTTCCTCTCACACTCCTATTTATTATGTTTATTATTAATTTTGATCTCTCATACTCTCTCTCTCTCTTCCCTTATCTATTTGAACATGACCTGGAAAACATTCGCACGTGTTTTTCTGCTTGACCAATTCAATGTCGTTTGTTTACTTATCAGTCTTGTATCTCCCAATGTAATTTCAAAAGTATATATCCGTGTATGTAGAGTATTCAGTGGCTGACGAGTTCTACCAAAATTTGATGAATCCATCATTAAATCCTGCTTTATTAACCTTTATTGCTTGTTTTATATGTATTATGTCTTTTGAATCTCCCTAAACTTTCTTCTCTTGCTGTGCGTGGTGCATGGAGGGAGTACGGCAACTCGAACTGGTGCACATCTGTGCAAAGTTTTACGTTGAATCTAGTCAGTCATTTTCTCATGACCAATTCCTTTTGGCAGGCCATCTGATCTTCAGCAAACAGAGCTAGTGAAGGCAAAAGTTGATAGAAGTTTTCAGCCTGTTGAAAACAGTTTTCGTGTTGCTCTGGTCAAGTTTCTGACCCACATAGGTGTGAACTGATTTAACATTCCTTTGTGCTGAGTGCATAAGATTTCCAAAGGGATATTAGAGTGATTAGTGTCTGTCTTGCCTTTTCGATTCTATTTTTTACATCCTCAGTTAATCAATATAAGCAATACATAAACTATTCATACTTGTGAATTTAAGTTGAGGCCTTGCTTCACTGATTAATATGCTCGAATTGCAACGACTGTGTAATGAGTTTGAACCGTGATTCCTTCTTACTGTTATTAATGTAACTAACTTGGCAGAACTTCATTTGGTGAAAATAAATCCTCCGTATTCCACTCAAATGACAAAGTTAAAAGAATAGCGTTCCAAGGAATGCGAACGCGCGAGACCAACCTTGAGGCAACCAATCAAAATAATCCATGTGTTTTACATAAAAATGCGATTTATTTACTAGAAAAACATCTTGATATCAGTTAGAGAACCATTGAAAACCAGGGAGTACTGGATTGCTGCTGTTTCATCCTAGTTTGGGAATCATCGGCAGTACGCACCCACTGGGATTCGAACCCAGGAACTTCCGGTTACTAGGCAAGCTCGTGGATGTCCCACCAACGATAATGGTTGGGGTCGCGCTAAATCACGAATTGGTAGAAGTTAGAATTCATGAGCCATTGAATTGGGTCCCAGTGGTTGAATGGTATACGAGCTTGCCTTGTAACTGGAAGGTCCTGGGTTCGAACCCCACTCTGTGGGTGTGTACTCCTGATGATCCCCAAACTTGAGCAAAACAGATTTCCAGTACTCCTTGCTGGTTTTCAATGCTTCTCTAACTGATATCAATCCGTGATCAACTCGTAAAAGCATAACTAACCCTTACAAACCAAACTATAGAAATACATAGATAATAAAAATAAACCACCTTAATTTCTACTGTAATGCTAACCCTAATCCTCAGCTTGATCCTAATCGCAACCGAAATTGATGATAGTGATATAGAAATCAAGTTCGACGTTAACTATCTTGGACCAGTTCTTTCTTCTGATCTATCCTGGTCTTCCCATGTCCTAGCGATTTCTAAAAAAATATTTCGTCTGACTTTGTACATTACGATTTTAGAGCACTCAGACTAAACTCAACCCCTCCTCCTCTTACAGTTTGTCAACTCTTGCATCTTACCTATTCTTCTTTACTGTTTACCCTTATTCTTTCTTGGATTGCTTTAAAAAGACTGTCATACTTCGTAGAACTCTGAAGACTCTCAGTAGGACGAGTGGTATCCCATTGGGCCACATCGTTACATTGTCACTGATAGGCACTTGATTTCATGCAACAAATTTGCTAAATGGATTTTGTCAGACTGTGAGTATCCACTTTACTCGCAGCTCCAACCTTCTGTCTCCTCATGTAAAACAAAAAGTCATTTCGAAAGACTGTATGCGTGCACGTCTTAGTATAAAACTTCCATGATACTATATTTGGCACGTATTTTATGTGATGAAAATAGTGTCAGGGACGAGTTAGCTAACTCACCTTATTACCACTAGTGAACAAGCGATTTTCTCTATCTTTATTACCACCAAGCCTCACTGTCACTATTCTTCGCATATTTATAGTCCTCATAAGTGTAAACGACATTTAGGCTCTTTAATAATTGTTATTGTTTTGTTTTCCTTTCACGAAGCTATGTCAAGAGAACATTAGATTCAATAATCTATAACATGCTAAACTTCCCAAACTGAATCGTCAATATTGTTTGTAACAAACTCACTGTTATTATTATTATTATTATTATTAGAGTCATTATTCTCATTTTGTGCTTTGCACATTTTTGACTTTATTCCAACTGTGAATGCGGGTAAATTCCTGTGGTTAATTTTATTTATATTTTGAGTAAATTAGATGCAATATTGTGACAAATGCTGAGAATCCCATGATGTATTATAAGGAATAAAGGAGATTGTTATAATTAATATCTAAACAGTATTTAAAAAGATCAGGATGAAGTTTGCATTTCAATTTAATGTCGCTATAGTAATGGCAAGCCTAGCTATCCAACGAATGATGTGCATTCAAGGTCATAGGTGCGTTCGCGCACTTGGATAGCTAACTTTTAACTGGACCAATCAATTCATTCTGTTTATATCTAATGGCGTGTTTCTTTAATTAACCTGTGTATTTCTTTGTTTAATTAGATTGATAATTTAAACAAATTACTAGCTGAAGCACGTAAAGATTACAAAGATCTGCTGTTAAGAGCAGAGAAAGCTGAACAAAAGCTGGATAAAACTCAATGTCTATTACGTAATCGTGAATTGGAGTATAAGTAAGTAGTTAAGTCTTTAAATTGTATGTGTTGTATATTTTTCTCACAAGGATTGAACTTATGAATTATAGTGTCAGTATTTTTGTTTCTTGTGTTAAAGAATAATAATAACATGTTTATTGTGGACAGTATTTATAAAATGTACAGAATTTTAAGAGGAGTTTATTGCATGGTATATTTCCTCTTCGTACGATATCTTCAAGCAAAACCCTAAAATTGGCAGTATATCCTGTGACACAATATTCTCTGAGCTGAAACACAAACCTTTCAATTATGATATATCTGCTTCGTCTCCTTCCTTCAAAAAATCCACGATATCTGGTTGAAAGCCAATTTTAAGATGTTCAGAAGTACATTTTGAGAGCCAAGGACATAAGTGAAGAACAGTTATCTCATGTATTGGAACACTTTGCCATCTCCAATCAGGCCTTTCCTCAAGTTTAGTAGGAACTTGAGAAACAGATGCTTGTAAACATTCTAAATACACACAAGAGTAGATAATACCATCAGAGGTCATATAATAATCGATTAAAACAAAGTAAACAAGAGAAAATATATGCAATGGAAAGAGATGGTAGTTTTTTGATAGCCCAGGTTTTAAGCAGAGCCGCCTACGAATGTCTGTGTTAGATAGGTAAATGTAATCGCTAGGATACTCTGAACCTAGGTTTCGTGCTTATTTGACACTTGTTAGTGAGTCTGTATCTGCAACATTGAAGGACCTCATGTTCCCATGAATACTGTAACCTGTGTCACCAAGTGTTTCACTCACAGATGTAGCCGTTAGTCATGAGCTATTCGGGGGGGGGGGACGGGTCAATTGACCATCTGTATGACTGTATTAGTTGTCTTGATTGGTCGATAGTGGAGTAGCCAATGTCTTCCATCTAGTTCTTTATGCTGACTGAATTCTAACAGTCAATTAACAACAGTAAGTATGAATTACTGTCAACAGAAGAAATTTGAACGTGGTCACTTCTTACACTTATCTAGACAGCTTTGTTTCAACTGTAGGCGACAGCACGAGTGAGGATATCGAAACTCAAATCAGAAAATCAGGACAAACGTTCATTACTCTGAAATCAGGGAAGGAAATCTACTGCATTCAGAATGAAGAACAAGATTCCGACTTTCTATCCTAATCCCAAATTAGTTAATGCATCTATATAGTTCAGAGATTTGATTAGTGAGTCACGAAAAGCACTTCCATGTGTAGTTGGAACAATGCTATTTAGGTGAGTAAAAGAAGTGACCTCCTTCAAATCTTTCATCATTGAACCCAAATCAGCAGCTGTAGCATGTGCATCGCTGACTTAGTGGTAGAATGCTCGCCAACCACGAATGGGTTCCGGGGTTCGATAACCGACCGACGCACTCCTTAACCTCTCTGAGACGGTAGTAATACCGGTAGATAGGGAAGGTTTGGCATGAGGCTAGCAACCTCCCCTTGTAAAAATAAAAATCATTGCTACAGAAACTTGAGAGCTGAAGTTTGAAGTCTTATGTTCTTCTGGGAACGTAGAGGACTAAAATTTTTCAACAATAAAAAAATAATAAGTTATAGTAGTGTATTCTACTATCTATCTCTAAAATCATTAAATGTTGTTTTCTTTAACTATGTAGTCTAAAATGTCTATGATCTGTCTCATCCTTTACAACAATAGATGAACAAGATTTATTTTTACTATTAAAGGAGTGCTATAAAGTTGTTTTGACTCATTTTCGATCTCTTCAGCATATGTACCAACGTGATTTATCTTGACCTGGAACTGCTTTCTAACTAATTCGTCTGGACTCAAGTGGAGATTTATCAATTTTATGTCTATGATTACCCTTAGACGTCAAACTCGTTGTTGCGCATACGGGCTCCACTCGAAGATCTCGCACATGATATTACTTAACACTGTCTTCATTACAACCGATCTCTACTTACTTCTACATATGTGTTGGGCAATATATTGTTGGTTGGTTTGTTGGCAGAGTTCTTCATGTTCTTTATGCCGGCTGGGTGAGTGATGAAGGCATATCTTCCCTTTTCAATTCTGGCTGGTTGATTTTGACATTTTCATCCGTTTCGAATGCCTGTGTTTGAAACGCTGCTTCCCAGTCGGTTAAGTGAAGGCTGTGAACTCTGTCAAATATCACCCGTTGATGGTGACTGGTGCTGGTTATAGTTGTTGCGGTTCATTGGTTATCTTCATTACCACCTGCGTCTTCTCCATTTTCAAGTGGGGTCCGGTCGGTCTTCGCTGCTAGCCTCCTTCTTGTGCCAGTTTTTTTTTTGGTTTTCGTCTGCAAGTCCTGCATCATTATTTATTTGATTTCTATGTTTGAATTATTCATGTATATTTCTCTCTTTCCCCGTCTCTATGATTCTTTTGATTTCCCAGTCAAGAATTGAATAATCGTTATAAATTGGATAGTCCAGAGTTGACTAAATTAATCTCGGATAAGATTGATTTAGTACAAACACGTAATCTACAAACTGTTGAAGCATTACAAGAAAAGTGAGTTATAACAAGTGATATATATATCGTTCATTTCTTCTCTTAGCCATTAAATCCATCTCTCCGTTGCTTTATATTCTTGGAGATAATATACATATTTATATCTGCATCTATATACTACTTATATGTTTTGTCACATGCCACAATATCACTTTTTAGATATTCCTGTTTGGTTGCTACCTTTCTTTTGCATAATTTTACGGTATTATATTCAAATTCTCTTTCATAAATTTTACTGCGATTCACAAAAGCCTAAAGCCTTTCTTTTTACTGCTGTTATCTCTATTTTCATAGAACCTTTTCTGAACATACCTTAAAAAACACATTGAGTGACTTGTATCTGTGAAATCTAAATGTCGTCTTATTTTGCCAGTTTGAATTCTTTGGCTTGCAGCTGTCTGCCTGCATTTCATTTACCGACAGCACATTTTCCAATAATAATAATAATAATTTACCTTATTCCGAAAACAGTACTTGTGATACAGAATGGAATTTTCAGCATTAATCACAATATTGCATCTAATTTCCTAAAATTATAAATAGAAATTAATCACGTAGAAAATTTTCCACATTTACAATAGAGGTAATGTCAAAAACATGCAGCATATATAATGGAAATAATAATAATGATAACAGCTAAGATAATAATAATAATAATACAAGTGAAAATTGCTGTGGGATTGTTTCACACAGTATTGTCAATGCGGTATAGAAATCCTAGCATGTTTAAAAATACTGAATATAGTATTCTTTTTGCGTGATATGGTGAGGGAAAACAATGATTACAGCAGTCATAGAGATAAGTTGGTGTTTGCAATTATGAGAGTAAAACAAAGAGGCAACAGGACCATAAATATAATAGAAATAATAAAAGTAAAACTTGAAGGTATATAAGGATGGATGGATGGAGGATATTGTTTATTTACTAGATGAAAAAAGTTTGGTTAGTTAATTCTTGCCTGACACTATTTTCACTATCACATAAAATACGTGCCAAGTATGGTATCATAGAATTTTGATACTTAGACGTGTGAGCAAACAGTTTTCTGAAGTGACTTCTTGTTCTACCTGAGGAGATGCAAGGTGAAAACTGAGGGTGGATGAGAGTGGATGCTCCAAGTCAGACAAAATCCCTCTGGCAAATTTATTGCACGAAGTCAAGTGCCTATCGACAACGATGTTAACTATGTGGTCCAGTGGGACACCACTCACCTTACTGACCGTCCTCAGCGTTCTACGAATTGTGACATAGTCCTTTTTAAGCAAAGCAGGAAAGAATACGGGTGAACAATAAAGAAGAATAGGTAGGATGCAAAAGTTTATAAACTGTGAGAGGAGGGGTTGAGTTATACCCGAGTGTCTTAACTTCTCAATGTAAAATGTCAGGCGGAATATTTTACTGGAGATCACTAAGCCATGAGAAGACCAGGAGAGATCAGAAGAGAGAATAAATCCAAATGTCCTAGTGTCCGGTAACTGCGTTACAAGACTTTATTCCTGATTCTCACTTTGTAAACGTATATGATTTCTTACACATTTTCTTGATGCTGAATAAAGATTCCTCTTTCCTAATTTTACTTACTCTGTTATTAGTTTGTAGTTCAGTGAAGTATAAGCCCTTAAACTGATTGAGTTTCGGCGTTGAATTTCGCACAGAAGTGATGCATCACTTCAAGTTGTCATGAAGGTAGAGAAAAAGGATTCAAAGGAACTGCGTTGAGCAAAAATGTATGGTAGGAAGGATAGTTATATGAAAAGAAAACAAGAGGGTTTAGTGGATATGTAGATCATAAAGTGTGAATGCATCCGCGTGCCATTGAGGAAGATTTTGAACCACATCATTGATAGTCGTCAGCTATTGGTTCTTAGTAAACTAAAGATCACCCTATGTGTGTGAAAACAGAAATTGAGCACCTCAAGGATTGATTCAATTTCTTGGTTTGACCACTCCTAACTCTAACAGCCATAAAAGAGGACTGAGTGAACTGCTATGCTGTACACACGTCCTCTGATTGATAGCCAGCCGGATATCACGTCTACTAAGCCAGAGATGACGTAGGTTGACAGATATCATATAAGGTTACGTGTCTGTGCTGAGATTTTTTGCAGTAGCCAGTCTATTAAGGCTGATGCCCGACCGACCGCTTCACTTATCTGAGAAGTTGCATCAGCCAACGCCAGCGGGATGATCTCTGACGAAATCTCAGCATGGATACAGAGGCTAGTTTACGCATATGCTAGTTTATGCCGTCTCTGGCGTAGATGTGATATGCGACTGGCAGTCGACCAAAGGGCGAGTGTACTGCTCATCCGTCCGCTCCGTCTTCCTTTATGGCTGTGAGACATGGCCATTGAGAGTGGAAGACATGAAAAGACTAACCATCTTTGACCATAGGTGTCTGCGTTCTATCTCCCGTATGAAGTGATATAATAGGATTAGCAATATTGAGGTTAGGCATCAGTCGAGTGCTAGGTTATAAGGGGAAATAAATAGACGAGATTGTGAAGTTACATCGACTGAGATGGTTAGGACATGTGTTACGTATGGCAAAGCAATGAAGCTTGCCGGCATTATTCACACAGCATATTTTCCATTCTTTAAAAAGTTTCATCCTGACTATCAGTACTTATTAGGAGAGACAGCATCACTGTTAAGATATACCCGCTTTTCTCAATACCTAAACTAGACCCCAGGAAACAGACACTTAACCTTAGATTCTTATATAGACAAGTATTAATTGGTTTGTACACAGAAAGGACGAACATATCTGCAGGATAATACGAGGATTCTCTCCAACCTAGTACATCTTAAATAAAAATTTCTGATTAGATCTTTTCCTCACAATGACTTCAAATTATAAACAGAGAGTATAAGCAACATAATTCTAAAAATGATGTAAGTAGTCAAGTTACTCAGTGTTAAAAAGGGCTAACTATTTGTAGTATAATCAGACAAGGGTGGATGGGGTTTCGTTCATATGCTCTTATGTTTTTATCGGTTGCGTAACATTCCATTTAAATTTTATTTCACTTACTGTCAATAGCACTCATTAGTACAAAAAAAGACCTAAATGATGAAATGAAACAGATAAAAGAATAGCTGGTTGGTGTTAAATAACTATCCTATAAAACTAATTAGGAAGATCAGAAACGGCCAAAAGAAAAGTAATAGCGAAACTAATAATGATAACCAAAACGAGAAAGAATATAAGGCATCTACAGTTTTACCACATAAAGAAGGGACATCTGAGACCCTATGTAGGATTCCCAGTAATGGAGGAATTATAATGGCATTTAAACCTACAAACTTACTCAAGGACAAGATCTGTAGGCTAAAGGACCCTGCAGGTTGACCCAATTTAAAAAAAATAATATAATTTACAAAATACCTTGTAATAACTGTGAGTTAATTCAACTACGTAGGTCGAACTAGTAGATGAGGAGTAAAGAGACTGTCAGAACACAAGGACTTAATGGCTCATTTAGAATGATTGACCCAGTGAATTTAGAAGAAAAAAGCTCAGCAATTGCAATGCATGCATTAACACACAAACACACAATAGGGTTGTAATGACTCATCACTCATACCAGAAATATGGAAAATACTACTACCAATCAAATCAAGAAATGAGGAATTATTGGGACCATGTAAACGAAGTTAGAAAGTTGTGTAAGTAACCTGATATGATTATTAGCATCAACCAATTGTGCTCGAAATTCTATTAGTGAGTATTACTGTGTGTAATATTGTGAGACTTTATCAAGATAAATTTTGTGCACAGTTTCCAAATCTACTTAATTGTTTTGTATATGTCATAATTTTTCTTTACTGTTCATCCCCAATCTCTTGAACACTCCAGCATATGAATTAACTCTGTTGTTCAATCTTGTATTTTATCTCTAATCAATCCTTGTTTCCAGGGCGAAATCTGAACTCTACTCCCTTCTTGCTTAATTATACTCTAAATAATATCGATTTGTAAAGTATGATCAATGCAATTACAGTTCATTAAAGATGCTTAAATTATAATAAAAGTAATAAAGATATAATAGCTAATAGAATATCAACTAAAATTAGGGAAATTCCACAAAAATTCAGGATTATTCAAACCTGGATGGCCAAGGTAAGGCGTTCGGGAGTAAAAGACAAACTGCCTAATTTCGCCTCCTCCATGTGTATCTACCAATTTAACTTCTCCTGTAGAGCCAGTTAGTTGCATAGGCTGTACACTTAGGCATGTTTCTCGTCGAATTTCCGAACATCACTCTGCACAGTGGTTAAGTAAAGGGCAAACAAAATCGATTCGTAGCGCTATTCTATCTCATCTTATGGATACAGAATACAAGACTGACGTTAACCATGCTTTTAGGGTCATTTACTGCATACCTACGAATCTCAATTTAGCCTTAAGAGTTCGACTACTAAGTATTTCTGAGGCTGGTCATTGGGATCTAGATTAACAAGCCTAATTTGTGCATCCAAAAGAAGTTAGTTCAGACATTATCATTACCTTGGTCACCAGGTTTGAATGACTCTGAATGTTTGTGGAATTTTCCTAATTTTAGTGGATATTGTATTCGTAATTATACTTTAAATAATTAGTCTTTAAACACTGAATAAATCGTCTACTTAAATCATTTTTTGGAATTATGTTGCGCATATACTTTCTATCTATAACTTGTCGTTACTGTGAAAACAGTATGATCAGAAATTTTGCAACTTATAGTTTGATTTTCTTTAGGATGTATGTAGTTGAAGAGAACCCACGAAATTAAATGTGCTCGTGCTATCCTTCAGAAATGGTCGTTCTTTCTTTGTTCAAACTAATAAAGGGAACCGGTTGTCTGACCGTTCCTTGTAGCCTATTCAATATTCAATGTTTTTCAACACACATTATTTGGTTTGCTTCTTTTCTTTTGTTTTACTTATTTTGTGTATTTTTAGATTAACTGAAAGCGCTCAACGTTATACAGCACTTGAAGATGAATTTCGAATGGCATTAAGAATAGAAGCAGAACGATATGAGACAGTATGTTTTTTAATTTATAGGTATATAAGTAAATTTATTTATCGCAAACAGGGCATCTATAGTTTGTGGTCATTTAACAAATTTGGACCACCCTGATCACTCTAATTTAAACACCAGACAGGAACTTAGTAGTTGACTAACGATCTTCGTTAGTGAATACCTCTGAATGAAAAGTTAGAATCACTAAAGCTTAAAGGTTAAAGATGCGTTTCACTAACATACTTAAAGCTTCTTCTGCTTCACCTCACAAACGAGAGGTAATTAAAGTGTGACGACTAAAAGCAACGCGTTGTGGTCTGAACGTAGGAAACAAATCTCTGAGTTCTACTGTACAGTTGTTAAACAGAACTTCCTTGAGTTATGCGAAGAACAAAAGTGTTTCAACGATGGTAAAAAGACAGTTATTTTTGTGATAAATTTTACGGTACTATTCAAAAATCGTAATATATCAAAATTCAAAATTACCTTAACAATGTCGTTGAGCTACTATACAGATCAAATTGGATCTCAGAGACAAAACAAGTACTGCAGAAAAAAAATTAGTTAACCAAAAAAATAAACCTTGAAGTAGTAGTACCTGATAATCAAGTAGAATATTCACAGCAAGATGGGATCAAAAGCTCTGTCAGCAAAGATCACACACCAAACCATGCTCTCAGATAGTCAAAAGTTAGGATGACCTTGATTCACTCAAACAAAATCGGAGTCGTGAAACAACACATTATTAATATCATCTTTCATACAACCACAAAGTGAAGCATTCAAATTAAAGATTAAACAGCAACAAAAAGAAATAAAAGTGATCAAGTCAACATATGATATGCAAACATCAGAACTAGGATATACAGTGTAGGAGAAGAAGGGAATCATAATTACAAAGTTTCAATATAGCAAAAATATTCATTCAGACATCTATAAAACACAAAATAATTGACCAAAGAATATTCTTTTCGATAATTTCTTCTTCTGACTCTGCAACTATATTTATGTTTATATACATAGAATATTCTAGTTTAGTAGTCAATAACAATATTAGTGTTTTTTAAATAATGTTGGTTTGTAAATTAAGATCGCAATGGAATTACAGTTCATTAATGCTTAAATTATAATGACAATACAGATATAGTAGAAAATAGAATATCAACTAAAATTACGAAAATTCCACAAACATTCAGAGTCATTCAAACCTGGATGGCCAAGGTAATGATAATTTCTGAACTAACTTATTTTGGATGCACAAATTAGGCTTGTTAATCTGGATCCCAATGGCCAGCCTCAGAAATACTTAGTAGTCGAACTCTTAAGGCTAAATTGAGATTCGTAGGTATGCAGTAAATGACCCTAAAAGCATGGTTAACATCAATCTTGTGTGTATCTGTATCCACAAGATGAGATAGAATAGCGCTACGAATCGATTTTGTTTGTCCTTAACTTAACCACTGTGCAGAGTGATGTTCGGAAATTCGACGAGAAACACGCCTAAGTGTACGGCCTATGCAACTAACTGGCTTCACAGGAGAAGTTAAATTGGTAGATACACATGGAGGAGGCGAAATTGGGCAGTTTGTCTTTTACTCACGAACGCAAAAGAGGAGTGGTTTTGAACACACAACGTAATTCGGAAGCAGGGAGCGCTCTTTTTACCGCATTTCTAAAAGGCGCTGTGTTAGTATCTCGCTGATGTTGTCCCCAAGGAACTGCATTTGTAAGAACTGTTGGTACCTTGGGCTGCTTTGATTTTAGATTCCTATTCTTATCAATAAACTTTTCTGGATAACCGTTTTCACTCAGCAAACGTTTAATATTATTAAGTTCTTCATCAAGACATTCATCCGAGCAAATTGCTCTTTCTCTGTGAACTAAGAACTTTATCGGATCGCGTTTGTATTACAAGGACACGAAGCTGAGAAAATGAGTATACTGACCCATTGATGTAGGTTTTCTATATACACTTCTTCTTATTGTTCCATCCTCTTTTCTGGTCATAAGGACGTCTAAAAATGAAATACTAGAGCCTTTTTTTTCTCAATAGTTTGAAATGTTAATTGGAAAATCCAAATAAGCATCAATATTAAAATTAGATCGTTGAGGTGGGATTTTCCAAACAACTGTTCTTTTACATAAAGTCTTATTGAATAGAATTCATTGTCATTGTGAATGTTTATTCACTTAACCGTAGGACAGAATATATACTATACTTCACTTTTTGTTAATAGTATTAAAAATATACTGTAATAGCTTTGTAATACATCGTTTGACATCTAGTGTATTTAAAACCTCTCATCTATAAATATCGGTTCATGTAGCTAGCATAAAAGCCTAGCATCAATTTTTTTAATCTTGGCTGAAACTACTGGTTCCAGTACTGATGTGAAGAAATATTTATTGTGTTACTTTCTCACCCTTATGATTATACGCTTCAATATTTTGCTCCTAATCAGAAACGTTTAATGTTACTTTTACACCAAATATATCAAATCATTTACGATGGGGAATATTTGAATGTCACTTGTATAGTCTCTGCTGCCCAAAATTAGTTTGCTTATTTTTATTCAATAAATTATTCTATGCAAATCATTCTGATTCTGGGCTTCGATCACGGAGTGATCATTGAAAACCATCAGGGAGTATTGGAAAGCTGTTTCGTCCTAGTTTAAGACTTCTCAGTAGTATGTACCCATGACCTTACGGGCGGGTGATTGAACTCCAAGACCTTCTGGCTATGAGGTGAGCTCGTTGACCATACAACCAGTGGGCGAGAATTCTATAAAGCATGAATTCTAACTTTTGTCATTTCGTGACTTTGAGCGACACCGCCATCCAGTGTCATCAGTGATGGTTCTCTAACTAATATCAATCAAATCTCTACGAATTAACACTTAAAAATTTTAGGAATTGTCACAGTTCATTGATTTAATTGTTCTCCTTTAAGTTAAAAAAGTAGGTCTTCTTAGGAAATTTGTTTGCTGAAGTTGCCTTCACAATTTACCAAAGATCTTGAAGGGTATGACATTAATTGACATTGTGAGGTGTGTTTTGCTTTTGACAGTGATCGAAGTAAAGAGCAGGTGTGTTTTTCAAAATGATTTTTAAATTCCTTCACGTTCCCAGTGGAACATAGGGCTCCTTCAAGTTAGAGACTTGAAGCTTCGGTAGCAGTGGTGTTTACTTTTACGGGTTGGGGCTGCTAGCTTCATGCCCAACCTTCCTACTTTACCAGTCTTATTACTGGCTTAGCGAGGTGAAGGGGTGCGTCGGTGATCGGGGATCAAACCCCAAACCATCTACATGGTTGGTGAGAATTCTACCGCTGTGCCACAGACGCACACAAAGTGATTATCTTCAACTAATTTAAAAATTAAAAAATCTGTTCTTGTGTTACATACAGTATCCAGTATTGATTCAACCTAACTTGTAATTGGCCTACAACTGTCATTCCATCACATTCCAGAATTTTTCTGTTTCCCTCTAAGGATTCTAGGAAAACACTGGCTGAGAGTGTTTTTTTTGTGATATGGCTCGGAATTGTTCTCGATGGTGGGGACATCTCCCAATCTCTGTATTCTTTTAGATCCATGTTAACATTTTCTCTCTCGCTCCCGTACATTTCTCACCATAGTTCTCACTTTTGTCTACCTTCGTGTGTTGTTTTGTGTAACAACAGAAGACAAGGGCCAGGCAACAGATCGTTTTATTACGAAAATCAACGCGTATTTATATATATTTTATGCACATTAATAAGGCTTATGCAAGAAGAAAAAGGCAGTCTTCTAATTGGTTGTTTCTCGGAAGTTAAGCAGACAAACACAGTCTTCTGATTGGTTGTTTTTGATATTTCTCGGAAAGTAGAGCCGTTTATCTGCGAATCATATTTTGCCACGTTAGGTCTGCTGTGATTGGTTGCTGAATCAGCCTTGCTCATATTTTTTCACGGCCACCTCTCACCACATATGGAGTGTGACAACTTGAGCTGGTACACTTCTGTGCAAATTTCAGTTAGTCTGTTTTTGTCCTGATTAACTTTCTTATTTATTTATTAGATAAAGCAAGGTATCATATCTTTCTTTATTATAGTTATTTAAGACATCAGAATTATGCAAAGAAGAACTGAGTGGAACACAATCACAATTAAAAGAAAGAATCGAACGTGAAGAATCTACACGTCATTTGATTGAAGAATTGAATACAGTGAGTGTGCTGAAACTTTTATGTTTGTCAAAGGAGGAATGGTTACTGAGCAAAGAATATTCAGGTTTTCGATAACCTGCTCTTCATCATCAGGTTCTACAGTTCATATATACTTACATAATAGTGAATGAATGAATTAGTGTTATTAACAACACTAATGTTGTTTAAATGACATCGAGAGCGTTGGTGGCATAGCGTTAGGACGCTCGCCGACCATGCACATGCTCCGGGGTTCGATCCCGGCCATTGGACGCACTCCTTTACCTCGCTAAGCCAGAAATAATTCTGGTAAAAAGGAAAGGTTGGGCATAAGGCTAGCAACCCCATCCTGTAAAAAAATTAAACACTGCTACAGAAACTTCAAGCCACTAGCTTGAAGCCCTATGTTCCACTGGGAATGTGAAGGAAAAAAATGACATATAATCAATAATAATAATAATATCAACGGATTACAGTTCGATATCATCAGCATAACAATTCACTGAATATGAGAAAGGCAAATTAGGAAAGATAATAATAATACGAATTCATGGATTTGTAGTCTCCACTGAAAGTCGGCCACAGTAGTAGTAGTAGTATTGGCTAGCTGAACTTGCTCCTTCTGCACACAAAGCACTGGTTGTTTCACGCGAGTCTTGATAGCCTTTTAGGGTTGATGGTATAAACGTTCGCCAACAGTACTGAATATATTAATGCAAGGCAAAGCGAAACACCAGAATTGATTGTTCAAATTACGAGATATATTTCTGAACCAAATCCCGGATTGAAGAGGAAGCTAAGCTAGCTAGTTATCGTGCACAAAAGTGACACGACGGAGTACCAAATGGCGGGGATGCTTGACGAGAAGCCTTCAGCTAAACAAGTTGATTTAAACTCTAAGGGTTAGCATCCAATGTTCATTGATGATTCTTATGGTCACGATGTAATTCTTCTTTTAGACATAATCTATTCCTATGGTCAATAATTTTGGGAATTATTTACCGCCACAGCCTCATTTGTTTGGAGCATGCAGTACCGGGATGTTTTTAGCAATTTATTTGGCACCCGGTAGGTGATAGAGAAGGAATCTTCAATTCTGGCCTTGTGGCCAGTTTGGACCAGATGGTCCAATATCGAACTGTTTTGACTACACCCTTACTTAGCCATACTGGCAGATGTTCCCTAGCGAGCACCAAAAATCAAGTTCCTAAAGCAATGGCCAATATAACTCACTCCACCACCGGCTCAGTTGAATCGGTAGATGTTTATGTGAATGCAAAGTAAGTTGGTGACTCCATATTTGATGGGTTGGTTTGATGTAGCACACGCAGTGATACTGATGTGATTATGAACGATAGATTGTGCTCGAAACGTCATCCAGTCATTATTAAAGTCTTTCACTGTGTATTACATCAAATAAACTTATCTAATATGGAATCATATTCTAACACAGTGTCTAAATTCAACTCCAACTTCAAAGTAGAAGGACTGTGTTGCTACCTTCACCCAGCATAATTTCACCAGCTCATGACTGAGACATTCACTACTAATGCTTAACATGAACAAATTCATAAATTAAATAACCAACTTTTGATGTACACCGTTCAAAGGGGTGAAATTTCATTGCCACACAGTTTTCTTTGGCAACCGAATTATCTAGATCACAGTATATCTGATCTGCTTGGTACCATAAATGGTAATCAGGACGGCAGGACTATTGAAATAGAACGATGTACTACTGATCGTAACAGCTGAGTAGCTCTATGTCATTCATGCATCAACCCATAGTGTTTGCTAGCCAGATCGAGGTGATCTAGACACCGGACGACCGTTCCACTAGTTCATGGGTAAGCTCATCAGCGGTGTGTACCAGGTTTAACTCTGCTCATAGAGACGAATCCGTGGAAACCATCCAATTTCTGGCTAGCTTGCTACTTAGGTGAACTACTGACATAATAAATCAAATTCACAATTCTCAAATCAATAATAATTATTGGTGTTTAACCCCCGCTTCCATTTATATTGTTTAAGTAATCCGGTTTGGCTTGTAACTCACGGGTTCGCCCTCCCTCCATGTATGCACCTGGTCTTGTGCTCAACTGCATTTACGCTGGCCTGGTATACTTGCACCCGGGTTTCAGCCTCGTAATTCTTTACTTTAACCAGGGTGTATGTAGATTTTTATAATGTTCTGGTGTTGTCCTCGTAACTTTTATTGCCTGATCTGTGTTCCATTAATGGATATTCTCTCTCTCTCTCTCTCTTACCGATGCTTTTGAACTGTAATCTATCGATACTGCTAATTTAATGTAATTTGAACTTACAATTATGTTGATAATGAGATTTTTTAAATTATAATAGTAATTTAAATGTAGAAGCTGATGAAGAAGAGGTTATCGAAAATCTGAATGTTCTTTGTTTCCTGATCAGTCTTTCAATTTTTTCCGTTCATTTAAAATGCTCCGCTTGGATGATTTCTAAAAACAAAACACGTAATTTAGCTGTGAGTGTGTTTTCGCCGGCGACTTCATTCGCTTAGCTGTACAATCGGAATTATATATATATATATAAACAACACATTTAAGCGAACAATATTGTGGTTTCAATTAGATCTCATCAGGCTTAACTCTAATATATATATAAGTTTACAAATAAAAATTCAAATATAAACCAATCATGGTGTTTTGTCTATAGGATAATACGATGAGAATGTTAACATAGACGAGTTGTTGCTGAAATTCAACAACATCCACCCTTCGCTTACCTATACTTGTGAAGAGGAGCAGGAGAATAAACTACATTTCTGGATGTCTTGCTAAGTAGGAGAGAATATGGGAGAAGTGTGTACAGAAAAAGCATATTCACAGGGCAATACACACACTTCCTTAGTTATGTGCCCATTAAATATAAAAGGAATGTTCTAAAATGTCTCACGAGCAGAGCAAGAAAGATATGTACGGATGACCTCTTACAAAAGGAATTTGAATATATTCACGATTCCTTGACGGAGATGGACTATCCGAGTAGTTTCATAAAGAAACATGTGAAAATATCAGAGAAAAAACCTGAGATTCTGACTGCACATAAGAAGCCTCTATTTATTAAGTTACAATTTAATGGTGACTTATCAAGTGAGATTTTATTCCAAAGACTTTTAAGGAGTATACGTAGAACATTTTACGCAGCATGCCAATGTTTGTCATTCTATAGCCGATGAATGATTGGGACGCAAACGAAGGATGAGCTTGATAGTTTTGCCACATCTATGTGTATTTATCAATTCAACTGCACCTGCGGTGGCAGTTATGTTGGGCGTACTACTAGACAGCTTAGCCAACGTGTTAGTGAACATCTCCCGTCGTGGTTTGGCAAAGGACAGACAAAAACAATTCGTAGCTCAATTCTGTCACATTTAATTGATAGTGGTCATGTAGTGGAGAAAATGAGAGCCTTCAAAGTAAATCATTGTATCCCACTGAATCTTTCCAGTAGACTTCGTATTTGTCTACTGCACACAGCTGAGGCGATAGGCATTCGAACTATTAAACCTAAACTATGCATTCAAAAGAAGTTCGTACAGCCATAATAACTCCCTTGAGCTATTAAGACATAACCAAGTAAAAACTTCTACACCACCCCTTATTTATATTTTCAACCCCTTTCTTATCATCCCTTAAACTTATCTTCATTATAAACGTGTTTCATTTCCTTTCCTTACAATCTAACATTACGTAATCGGTTCATTTGTTTCTACTAGCCTTTATCGACTACTTCCACCTGAACAATTGTTTGTTTAATCATACTGTTTTTCATTATTTGTGTTATCACAAATTGCCTCACTTTTTCATCCTTATTATTATTATTACTATTATTAATATTATCATTACTACTATTATGACTAATTGCACAATTTATATTCACCATCGTATTATCCTATAGACAAAAACACCATGATTGGTTTATATTTCAATTTTTATTTGTAAACTTATGTATATTAGAGTTAGCCTGATGAGATCTAATTGAAACCACAATATTGTTCGCTTAAATGTGTTGTTCTAAATTTTACTATGGGAATATTTAATATATATATATATATATATATATTGTAGAAGAGAATGAATTTGCTGGCGAAAGAGACTTTTCACTGAACTCTACAACACGTTTTGTTTTCATTAATGTTCTAGATTAGGGGAATTATTCATGAATTAGACAGCTTCTGTTTTTATTATAGGTGATCAAAGAACAAAAATCGAAATACACAAGTCAACAGAAAGCTAATTTATTATTGCAGCATAACTTAAAGGTAAGTAGACATTATAGAGAAGAAGAAGAAACGTAAACTCTAACACACTTCCTCTCTCTTTTAGATCTAGATCTGTTTGGATACTTAATCAGTAGTTATTAATCACTATGTTTTGTGCAGTTTCTTCTCGTCTAATGTATTGTGGTTAGATGACGGCTTGGATCATCGAAGTGATTATTATTATCTGGGATTCCGAGTGGAACTTAGGAACTTTAACAGAACATTTCCACTTTTTCCTGTTCTCTGCAGTCCTCTGTGACTGTCTCCACCATTGGCTATCAGTTATCATCTCTCACCCCCTCACATGATCTCCATGTCACTCTCGATACCAAACCCAACTCGCTGTTTCTCTCTCAGATTCCCGTCGCCGGACTACCTGGGGTGTGGCGTCAATCAAAGAGCTCCTCAGTGTGTGTCCTATCTGTCTCTAATTTCTTCTACATGTTTGCTGTCCAGTAGATTATCGATTGGTTTGTTCTCAGAGTTTCTTGTAGTTAATTCTTTTTGATCAGCGATCTCATCTTCATTATTGAGCCAGCGAAGACAACTGTTGATAGAAGTGTTCAGCCTTAGCTGTTTGTGAACTGCTAAGTTTTTAACCCATAGAGATAGAAGAACTGAGTGACTTAGTATTGGTATTGTAAATCCAAATTTCGTTGTCTATGCTGTCTGAGTGAGGGCCTAAGATTTCCAAACTAATTTCAGGTTAATGAAGGCGTATCTTGCCTTTCCGATTCTGGCTGGCTGACTGGTTTTGACATCTTCATCCGTGGCATGTGCCTGTTGTTGAAACGATACTGCTTAGATATAAGGGAAAAAAGTGATTTGGTTCAAATTTCTTGCATTGATAGGGATTATTGCTTGTCTGTGGTTATTTTATTCACCAGCGTCTTCTCCTTGTTCACTTGAATTCCTGTCTTCTCTGTCGGACACCAAACTTATTAGTTTTCTCCTGTGGATACTGGCTGCATGTTAAAAACCAGAGTAGATTATAATAATCTACGCTGGCTTTGAACAAAGCAAGAACTACAGTTTTAGCAGAATAAATTGGTACCATCTTTTATTTCGTTGCCTTCTCGTCATCTGCTTACAGACCAAAGGCATTATTAAGTATATCTACAAAAACAATTTTAACATACTTGCACGGAGTTCATTTTAAACAAAAATCAATCGACCAATATATGCATAAAGTTATATATATATATATATATATATATATATATATATATATAATATTAAACACTATTCCGACCAACAATAATAATCATACACAATGGAAACTTCTCAACATTTCGCAATCAGATGAAAGAGAGATGAAAATATCCAGTTACCGGTCAGGGCAAAGAAAGACTGATAATCACTTCTTTCTGGACGCATAAATCAGGTTTCAGGCGCTTGATGGAAATGGCTTCAGAAAACTTGGGGAGAATTGAGCTCTTTGGCCTATTGATAATTTTGAACGACTTTTCGACGCCCACCTCATGACCCCCGTGTCAAGGAGATGCTTGGCCATGGCACTGTTTAAAGTATTTGTTCCCTTTAGACATAAGCTTTTTGGTAGATGTTCAGAAAATCGTAGATTTGCCCTTCTGTCTGTTCTTCCAATGTAACTGCTCCCGCAGATAGATATCCTTCTCATGTTAACTCCACTTGATTTTCACTATTACCAATCAGATCAAGTGAAAAATAATGGAACTATATAAATGAAGTTAGGAAGTCGTGTGATTACCTTGATATGATTATGAGCATTAACAAATTTTGCTCGAAACGTCATCAGTAAACATAACAGTATAACACTGTGAGACTTTATCAAAACAAAATTTACCCATAGTGGAATTACACTCTACCACAGTGCACAAGTTCTATTCTTATATCAAAGATGGTACCAATTTATTCTGCCAAAACTGTGGTTCTTGCTTTGTTCAAATTCATTAAGGGGAATAAATGTACACTGACTTTATAATATATAGTTAGTTTCATCGTCAAAGTTTACATAAACAAACAATCTTTCCATTTCTTTTTTCGTTCTATTCCTGTGCTGTCCGAGTGGAACATAAAGTTTAAGCTTTGAGTTTGAAGTTTCAATATCGGTGATGTTGTTTTTTACACCATACTGCACCCAGCCTTCTTTCTTTTCTAGCCTTATTGTCAGCTAATAAACCGAATGTGGTTTAGAAGTGTATCGGCTGAGAATCGAACTAGAAACCACATGTATGACTGGTGAGCGTTCTACCAGTGGACCATTGAATCACTAATACTCTTTCAGCAAAAAAAAGAGATTCGATTGCTTTTCTTTTCTATAAAATTATCTGGCTTCTATAAACTTAGAATTTCTAGAAACCGCATCATATGATCCATTCTTAGATCGGAGCGTTTGTGTTTAAACTGTGTGAATATTGTTATGAGTTGATTTGTAGGGATTTAATTTCTTTTCTATGTTTGACTACCGATTGATATCAGTTAGAGAACCATTGAAACCAGCATTGGGTACTGGACAGTTGTTTCATTAGCCTAGTTTCGCATTCATTGGCAGTAGGTGTTCACCGGATTTTGAACCCATGACCTTCCAGCTACAAGGCAAGGAAACCACTGGGACCCGATTTATTGGTCCATAAATTCTAATTTCTACAGATTCGTAGTTTTGGCGCAAACGCCAGCCAATGTCATCGGCGAGTATTTGTCATCATGCCCGACCTGCAGCACCCTACTGGTCGCGACTTCCCACTGGAACCCCAGTGGGAGGCGTTCTACAGACAACTACAAGCAATAATGGACAACGTCCCAAATGGCGATATCAAAATCCTGATGGGCGACATGAATGCGAAGCTGGGAGGAGACAACACAGGAAGAGAACTCACCATGGGTCGTGAGGCCCTCGGTGAAATGAACGACAATGGTGAACTCTTCTCAGACTTCTGCGCCTTCAATGATTTGGTGATTGGTGGTAGTGTGTTCAAACACAAGGATATACACAAGACGACATGGATTTCACCAGATGGAAACACCAAGAACCAAATAGACTTCATCTCAATTTCAAGAAAGTGGAGACGGAGCCTACTGGACACAAGGTCAAGGAGAGGAGCAGATGTGGGTTCAGACCACTATCTAGTAGAAGGGACTTTCAAGGTGAAACTAAAAGCCTCGAGGATAGCTGGGGATAGGCCACAATGCAAGTTCAACACTCAAAACTGAAGGACACAACCACAAAAGACACTTTCACTGCAACTGTCAGAGCAAAGCAGGAAACACTACGCGACATCACTGAAGAATCATGCGTGGAAGAACATTGGAAGTCTCTGAAGGCGATTCTCAACGAAACGTGTTCAACGGTTCTAGGAAGAAAGAAGAGACAAGACAAGGAATGGCTCTCAACGGACACTTGGAAATTAATAGAAGAGAGGAGAATGGTGAAAGAGAAAATGATTCAATGCAAGGACGGACAGGAGAAGGAGACGCTGAGCTCAACTTACAAAGCACTGGACAAAGAAGTGAAGAAGAGTGCTAGGAAGGACAAAAGACGATTCTACGACAACCTGCCACTGAAGCTGAGAAGGCAGCAGGCAAAAGGGACCTGAGGACACTATATCAGATAACCAAATCTCTATCCGGGAAGAGACCAACACAAGCGAAACCTATAAAAGACAGCCAAGGGAACCCAATTACCAAGGAAGAAAAACAGATTAAACAATGGGCGGATCACTTCAAAGGACTCTTGAACCGACCATCACCTGCAACCCGTCCAGAAATACCAACAACAGCGCGCACACAACTGCAAGTTGACACCAATCCTCCAACGAGAGCTGAAGTCTTGAATGCAATCAAGCTTCTGAAAGCTGGAAAAGCAGCCGGACCAGATGGAATACCCCCTGAAGCACTGAAAGCAGACCCAGAGACTACAGCAGACATGCTGACTCCATTATTGCAAAAGGTCTGGAAGGAGGGAAAGGTGCCTACTGACTGGAGGAAAGGTTACCTCGTGAAACTACCAAAGAAGGGCGACTTAGGACTCTGCAAGAACTGGCGAGGAATCATGCTCCTATCGACGCCAAGTAAAATCCTGAGTCGCATCATCCTGGAGAGATTAAAGGACGCACTGGAGACAGAACTCCGACCAGAACAAGCTGGATTCAGGAAAGGCAAATCATGTACTGACCAAATTGCAACTCTACGCATCATCATCACAGAACAAAGCATGGAATGGCAATCAAACCTCTACCTCAACTTTATAGACTTTGAGAAGGCCTTCGACAGCGTTGACCGTGAAGTAATTTGGAAATTACTCGAGTACTATGGCGTACCCCAAATATTCATCAACCTTATTCAACAGCTGTACGACAACGGCACATGTCAAGTGATCCACAACGGAAAACTCAGCGAGGCGTTTGGAGTAAACACAGGAGTCAGACAAGGGTGCTTATTATCACCAATGATATTCCTAATTGTGGTGGACTGACTGGATTATGCGTCAGAGAGTGAGTGGGAAACGAGAAGACAGGAATATCCTGGACCGACGTGAAGAACCTAGAAGACCTGGATTTCGCGTGGATGATTTATGTTTGATGTCACACACAATCGAAGACTTACAAGCGAAAACCGACAAACTGGTCGAAGAAGCAGCCGGCGAAGACAGGACTCCAGGTGAACATAGACAAGACGGAGGTTATGAAAATAACCAACCAACCAACAACAACAGCACAACATCCAACGTCAATCACCATCAACGGGAGGGATTTGAAAGAGGTTACTTCATTCACTTATCTAGGGAGCATTGTCTCAACTACAGGAGGAACGGACGAGGATGTCAAATCGAGCGAGAATCGGGAAGGCGAGAAACACATTCATCAACCTGAAATCAATCTGGAAATCTTCGTCACTCAGCATCAACAACAAAATTCAGTCGGATTTTCAATACAAACGTCAAGTCAGTCAGTTCTTCTATACGGATCAGAAACTTGGCGGGTGGGTCACAAAGAATATTTCCAACAGCTTGCAGACCTTTATCAACAACTAACTGTCTTCGCTGCTCTATACTGAAGATCAGATGGCTGGGCCGGAAAGAATCATTAACAAGGAACTATGAGAACAAACAAAACAAGAACCAATCGCCGAGCAACAACAAATATGCAGGAGAAAGTGGAGATGGATCGGACACTCGCTGAGGAGACCGCTGGGTGACATCACTCGAGTGGAACCCGAAAGGGAAGCGGCGAGTGGGACGTCAGTGCAAGGGTGACATGGAGGAGATCGTGTGAAGAGGAGGAGTTGAAACAGTATGGACTAACATGGATGCAGGTGAGAAGTACAGCAGAGAAGACAGAAGTGGCAAGTGGAGACGTGCAGTTGAAGCCCTATGTTCCACTAGGAACCCAAGGGAGCAATAATAATAATATACTTTAGGCCGGTCAGGGCAGTAGTAGTACTGGCTGGCTGGACTTTCTTCTTCTGCACACAAAGCACACGAATTGCGATAGCCTATGCTATTTGAACCATGCGGTACCTCGATGTTTTTGACAATTTTGGTACCCGGTAGATGGTAGAGAAGGTTTCTTCAGTGCTGCCTTTGTGGCCGGTTTGCACCAGATGGTCCACTATTGAATTGTTAGTGGTTTTCACTACACTTTACTTAGCCATACTGGGAGGTGTTCTCGAGCGAGCACGAAAATTCAAGTTCCTAGAGCAACGGCCGATATAACTCACTCCACCACCGGCTCAGTTGAATCGGTAGATGTTTATGTGAATGCAAAGTAAGTTGGTGACTCCATATTTGATGGGTTGGTTTGATGTAGCACACGCAGTGATACTGATGTGATTATGGACGACAGATTGAGCTCGAAACGTCATCCAGGTATTATAACAGTTTTTCACTGTGTACTATATCTGACGAACTCACCTACAATGTAGTTATATACTACCAAAGTGTCTAAATTCAACTCGAACGTGAAAGTGGGAGGAGTCTCTTGCTACCTTCACCCAGCATAATTTCACCAGCTCATGACTGAGACACTGACTACTAATACCTAATACACACATCAAATTATCACAATATTAGGAAAAACTTCTTTGAATATGTTTTATTTGAGAGCGGCTATTTATTAATGATACCGGTATAAACTTAATTTTCTCGTCACCAAAGGGATTGTCCTTTTTTGTTCAGTTTATGTGGTTAAATGCATTCTCGCCAACTATAATATCTTTTATTATTGTTATTATTATTTTGTTTAAAGGAACGTATTGCAACCTTGGAAGCTCATTTAGAAGAAGCTCGAACACGTATTACAAATCATGAAAATTTACGAAAGGTGGGTGTGTAAACTACTATTGAACTATTATCCGACTCATTTATATTTTGATATTTTATTTATTTATTTATGTGCACCACTTTATTTTATTAAATTTCATTGCTAGTTAATCATAGATTTTTTAAAATTTTCTTTGAAAAAATAACCCAGAAACAAGTAATTGTTCACAGGTTTAGTCACCAGCTAATGTGGGTTACAGAACCATTGGAAAACCAGGGAGTACTGGACAGGCGTTTCTTCCTAGTTTAGGACCCTTCTTTGGCATATACTTACAGCGGCTCGAATCCAAGACCTTTCAGTCACTGGGATGGAGTCTATGACCCATGAATTCCAACTTTTCCCTGTTGTCGATATATAGAGCAATCCCCAGCCAATGTCGGCGGTGGCTAACTGTCTTCTTTCCCGACTTGGTGGACTCCGTGGGTTTGGACTTCTCACTAGAACTCCAGGAAACTTCCTGATAGAGCCATTTACTAGTGGGCATTAGATTAATTATCAAGTAGTGATTTGCAGACATTTCATTGGTCAGAGGTGTTTGACCACGAGCGGACATCAGTTAAATGCGTGAATACTGATTAAGAGTCTCAAGCTAGAATGAAACAGCTGTAAATTACTCTCAGGTCTTCCGGTGGTTCTCTACCTGATATCAGCTAGTCATCAAACGTGTAACCAATGAAATCTCTACAAAACAACACTTGACAACAAATAATTGTTTCTTTTACTGTATTCTGTAAAAGTATTAAATACTGAGTTAGGAATATACAACTTATCTATACAACGGATACAATAGATGACAACAGCAGAATACTGACCACTAAGTATAATTCTAGAAGACAGATGCCCTTCAAGGTTTTTAAACTGATGTGGGGATAACTAACTTCAAAGATTACTGTCTACTCTATCCCAAAAGTGGAAATTCGAGACACAGACTGTAATCTGTTATGCGTCAGAAAAAATCTTGCAGTTTGGCTTATCATTATCTCGAAAAAACCAAACATATGCTTTACGATAAATCTCAACATCGCACGCTAATGACTATGTCATACCCCAAAACTGTATACCAGTTTAACGGTGAAGGTATACATACTTAGGAAAGGGTAATCAAGCGTGGAGGAATATATGTAGTGAGAGATGTCTGCTAGCCAAAATTGCTACACAGTAATTTACGTCAATGTTTATTTCCCCAATATTGGTCATGAGAAAAATGAGAACAAACACAAAGACTGATTCAACAACCAATCACAACAGACTATGCGTGGGCGGATACAATTCGCACATAGGTGATCTGACCTTCAATAAACGGCCACAAAGAGATGAAAGATTAACGTTCAGCGAGAAATAGCCGATCAGAAGACGCTGTTTCTGTGCTAATAATAATCTATAATTAATGTACATGAAAATCTATAAATATCTGTTGATTTCCTCAACAAAGGATCTGTTGCCTGACTCTTGCCTTCTGTCGTTATACATATACCTAAAAAGGCTTAAGAAAAAAATAAATAAATAATTTATTGAACAGTCCTTGTCATTTGTTAAAAATCAGAGCATGAAATTTTAGTCTCTTCTCGTTTACTACAAAAATTCTTGACTTCGATAGTGATGATGAATTGGGTATCTGAGGGGATATGGGAGATCTCGTTTGAGGAGGAGATTAGTGTTTAGTTAACAACTTAAAAGAAATAACCACGTTACATAGCAATGAGATAATGTTTTGCTTATGTTATAACTACTCTAAAGAGAACTTTTAACAACTGAACATAAACATCCTTCTAGGTTAACGTAGGATGTAAACTTTATGCTTGACTTTTTTCTACAACGTTTGATAAACTTAAACACCTGTCTTTATTCTACGAGTGCAGTCAGTCAACAGATTAAGGTTGTGATGCTAGGTGGCGATAAGCAGGAATCCTTAGGCCTATGTTTCATACTTATCCCCGTTCGTCAACACAATGTATCTGCAACCTTGAAAAAAAAAGATATCTTCTTGGAGATTCAGACCTACAAGACTCAGTGCTTCATTTAGTGTCGTTACCACCGAATATACGATTGACCTCCTGCTTTATTCTAATATGTAAATTGAAGAAGGACGTTTATATACATTCGATTGCGTTACAGAGAATTAATTAGCTTCAAAACAATTATTTCTTGCAAAATCGATTAACTTCCACTAAATGTGTATGTAAAATAACAGGTTAGTTATGGACTGACAAAAGAGATAGTCAGGTGTTGGTTTACAAATATTTGATTAGTTAGAAGATTTCATCATGAGCTGACATCTGTTAGAGGACCATTGGAAAACTTGGGAGTACTGGACAGCTGTTTCGTCCAGTTTGGGACGCTTCATCAGTACGCAATCACTAAGGTTCGAAGGTGTGATGACAAACATGTTGGGCTGAATACAAAAATAGAATATTGTGAGATGCTTAGTTGCGGAAAGGGTTAAGTCTGCGTTGGTGGCACGGTGGTTAGGACGCTCTCCGACCATGCACATGGTCCGGGGTTCGATCCACTGAAAATTCCATACTTGTACCAAAAATACGGTGTGGAATCAAGCTATAATCAAAAAAAGTCAAACACATAAAAAGTTCAATCTTATCACACTTGCTAGATCACAGGACAACGTATTGACGCTAACGTGGTCATAAGGGTTATATACCACATTCTAAAGTCATTAACACGCACAGATTGCCTACGTCCTCGACATTAGCTGAAGATGTTGCAATAAGACCAACTAAACTGGGACTGTGTATTCAAAAAGAACGCGTTTAGACGGTGTTCCTACAGTGGCTCAATTTGGATGAAAATTTCTCCTGCCCCAGAAAGTGGCTTTTCTTCTTATTTCTTTTGCTGAATTTCCTTTTCTCTTTATCCCAGCAATTTTATCCAAAATGTTTTGTAGTTCATACTCTTCATTTTTCCAATACTATCGAGTTTTCCACTTATACTGTTCTGATTTATTACTAGTGATATTATACGTTCTCTCAGTATACAACTGCATCTGTTCATTTCACCAACTGATTACTTCATGATGAACTGTCGTTCAATGCAGTCTTACTATCTCCTGTCTCTCTATTGCATACCTGCTTTGTATTAGTCACTCACCAAACACCTTCTGCAACCCTGAAATGAGTTGGTAATTTTCCTCTTGTCGTATTGTTTGAATGAATTAATCTATTATGAGTAATCACCATCACTGTCTTGCATTTCACAAATATTTAGTAATCGCATTCAGCTCAGCATGTATGTTACACAAATACTGTGTTTATTCAGTTATTTTGTTGATACTGGGATCATGATTTTGATGAGGTTTGTGAAAGCTGAATTGCTAAATGATTTTTTTGTTTATTAAAGTAAACAGCTTCTGTGTGGTTGGGAAACTTCTGAACTCTACTACCCTACCTAGATAATATTTCACAAATTTGTCTTCGTGCCCTTGATATACAAACGCAATCTGATAAAGTTCTTGGTTCACAGAGAAAGAGCAATTTGCTCGGATGAATGTCTTGATGAAGAACTTAATAATATTAAACGTTTGCTGAGTGAAAACGGTTATCCAGAAAAGTTTATTGATAAGAATAGGAATCTAAAATCAAAGCAGCCCAAGGTACCAACAGTTCTTACAAATGCAGTTCCTTGGGGACAACATCAGCGAGATACTAACACAGCGCCTTTTAGAAATGCGGTAAAAAGAGCGCTCCCTGCTTCCGAATTACGTTGTGTGTTCAAAACCACTCCTCTTTTGCGTTCGGGAGTAAAAGGCAAACTGCCTAATTTCGCCTCCTCCATGTGTATCTACCAATTTAACTTCTCCTGTAGAGCCAGTTAGTTGCATAGACCGTACACTTAGGCGTGTTTCTCGTCGAATTTCTGAACATCACTCTGCACAGTGGTTAAGTAAAGGACAAACAAAATCGATTCCTAGCGCTATTCTATCTCATCTTGTGGATACAGAATACAAGACTGACGTTAACCATGCTTTTAGGGTCATTTACTCCATACCTACGAATCTCAATTTTGCCTTAAGAGTTTGACTACTTAGTATTTCTGAGGCTGGCCATTGGGATCCAGATTAACAAGCCTAATTTGTGCATCCAAAAGAAGTTAGTTCAGAAATTATCATTACCTTGGCCATCCAGGTTTGAATGACTCTGAATTTTTGTGGAATTTCCCTAATTTTAGTTGATATTCTATTTTCTACTATATCTTTATTGTCATTATAATTTAAGCATTAATGAACTGTAATTCCATTGCGATCTTAATTTACAAATCAACATTATTTAAAAAACACTAATATTGTTATTGACTACTAATCTAGAATATTCTGCGTATATAAACATGTATACATATAATTGTAGAGCCAGAAGAGGAAATTATCGAAAAGGATATTCTTTGGTCAATTATTTTGTTTTATAAATTTTTAATAATTGTAATAATAATTGAAGCTGTCCCATGAAAAGTGAATGTAAGCTTAATATAGATGTTGTGCATGAACGTCTGGTGATCACGAAAGACAGTATAGTTCATCAAGATGATAGTATGAGATATATTTATGTAAAAACCATGAAATATATGTATGGTATTTTGATGCTTATTTCTAAACAAGAAATTTCTTATTTTTACTCTCCATAAAAACACAAGGAAGTAAGTTCATAACGCTGTTTTAAATGATTTCGTTTAAATTTGATCATGAGCTGATATCACCCAGAGAACCATCACGGTGTACTGAACAGTTGTTTCGTCCTACTTTACGACTCTTCACCAGTAAGCAGTCCCCGCCAGTGTTCGAACCTAGGACTCACCGGTTACAATGCGGGATCGTAGACTATTCAGCCACTGGAACCCGATCCAATGTCCAACACATGAATCCCAACTTCCATCGATTGATGATTTTTTTAACGTTACCACGAGCCAATCTCATTGGCGGCGAGTATTTGTCCTGACATCCATCCCACTGGCCACAACTTCTCACTAGAACTCCAGGGAACTTCGCCGTATAGAGG